TTAGTGTTTTAGTTTTAAAATCAGCTTTATTCAGATATACCTGTAACAAAATACACCTATAGCAAGTGTACAGTTTGTTAAGTTTTGACAAGTATAGTTACATAACCACCATGCAATAAAGATACAGAACTTTTCCATCACCCTGAAAAGTTCTTGTGTTTCTCTTTGAAGTTGGTCCCTCATCTCACTGTTGGGTCCAGGCAACTAAGACCTGCTTTCTGTCATATTTTTGCTTTTTCTAGAATTTTATGCGAATGGAAACAGTATGTAGATTTGTGTCTGACTTTTTTCCCTTAACCTGAAATTGTTGCCTATGTCAGCAGTCTGTCCCTTTTTATTGCTGAGTAGTATTACATTGGTGTCTGTTCAGTTCAGTTGCTCAGTTGTGTCCAACTCTTTGCAACCCCATGGACTGCAGCATGCCAGGCCTCCCTGTCCATCACCAACTCCCGGAGTTTACCCATACTCATGTCCATTGAGTCAGTGATGCCATCCAACCATCTCATCCTCTGTTATCCCCTTCTCCTCCCGCCTTCAGTCTTTCCCAGCATCAGGGTCTTTTCAAATGAGTCAGTTCTTCGCATCAAGTAGCCAAAGTATTGGAATGTCAGCTTCAACATCAGTCCTTCCAATGCATACTCGGGACGGATCTCCTTTAGGATGCATTGGTTGGATCTCCTTGTAGTCCAAAGGACTCTGAAAAGTCTTCTCCATCACCACAGTTCAAAAGCATCAATTCTTCAGTGCTCAGCTTTCCTTATAGTCCAACTCTCACATCCATACATGACTACTAGATGGACCTTTGTTGGCAAAGTAATGTCTCTGCTTTTTAATATGCTGTCTAGGTTGGTCATAGCTTTTCTTCCAAGGAGTAAGCGTCTTTTAATTTCATGGCTGCAATCACCACCTGCATTGATTTTGGAGCCCAGAAAAATAAAGTCTGCCACTGTTTCCCCATCTATTTGCCATGAAGTGATGGGACTGATGCCATGATCTTAGTTTTCTGAATGTAGAGCTTTAAGCCAATTTTTTCACTCTCCTCTTTCACTTTCATCAAGAGGCTCTTCAGCTCTTCTTCCCTTTCTGCCATAAGGGTGGTGTCATCTGCATATCTGAGGTTATTGATATTTCTCCCAGCAATCTTGATTCCAGCTTGTGCTTCATCCAGCCCAGCGTTTCTCATGATGTACTCTGCATATAAGTTAAATAAGCAGGGTGACAGTATACAGCATTGACGTACTCTTTTTCCTATCTGGAAACAGTCTGCTGTTTCATGTCCAGTTCTAACTGTTGCTTCCTGACCTGTACCACATTTTTTAAATGTATTTACCAGTTGGTAGATGCTTGAATTGTTTTCAACTTGGGGCTATAGTGAACAATGCTTTTATGAACATTCATGTACAAGTTAATGAGAAGATGTTTTCATTTCTCTTGAGTAGATGACCTAGAGCAGAATTATTGAGAAAGAAGCTATTAAACTATTTTCCAGAGGGGCCGTACTTGTTTGCATTCCCACCAGCAATGTACGAGAGTTCCAGCTGGTTGATGTCCTTGTCAACTCTTGGTATTGTCAGTCTTTATGTTTAGCCGTTTTGGTGGGTGTTTAATGGTATCTCATTGTGGCTTTATGTTTATTTCTCTGATGACAAGTAATGTTGAACATCATTTCATGTGCTTAGTGGCCACTCCTTTTTCTTCTCTTCAGATCTGTTGCCATTGTTTAAACTGGGTTGTCTTATTATTGAGTATAGAAATTCTCTATGAATTCTGTATATAAAGTCCTTTGTAGATACACACACATGCTCACAAAATATGTTTTCTCCCAATCTTTTCAGTTTCTTGGTGGTGTCTTTGTAAGGCAGACATTTTAAATTTTGATAAAGATTAATTTGTCATATTTTTCTCTTATGTTTCATGCTCTTGACAGTCTATTTTTGAATCTCTGCTTATCCCAAGATCATGAAGATTTTCTCCTCTCTTTTCTTTTAGTAGTTCTAACTTTTTCTTTAGTTGTGTGATCCATTTCAAGTTAATTTTTGTGTGCAATATAAAGTCAGCATCGAGGTTCATTTTTTTCTAAATAAATATCAAGTTGTATCCAGACTATTTTTCCCCATAAAATTATTTTGGCCATTCTCTTGAAAAGTAATTGACCATATATGCATGGGTCTGTTTCTGGGTTCTCTGTTCTGTTTCATTAACCCATATACCTATCCTTAGACCAAAGTACGCCATCTTGATTACTATAGCAATAAAGTAAGTCTAGAGTTCAGGTAATAAAAGTCTTCTGACTTTCTTTTTCAAAATTATTTTGGCTCTTTTAGGTCCCTTATATTTCCATGTAAGTTTTAGCCTGAGCTTATCAATTTCTTTTGAAAGTCTGCTGGGATTTTGATAAGCATTGCATTGAATCTGTAGATCAATTTGGAGAGAATTGACATCTTAATAATATTGAGTCTTCCAATTTATGAACATGGTATATCTTTTATCTAGATCATCTTTGATCTCTCAGCAGTGTTTTATCATTTTAAACATACAGGTCTTACTCATAGTTTATTATAATTATTCCTAATCATTTTATGTTTTCATTGGTTTATTGATGGTATTTTTAAAATTTCATTCTCTGATTGGTTGTTGCTATATATAGAAATACAACTGGGTTTTATAATTGATCTTTATTAATTAACTTTCTTAAGTATAATGATTTTTTTTTTTTGGTAGAATACGTAGGTTTCTATGTAGGACTTCCCTGATAGCTGAGTTAGTAAAGAATCCACCTGCAATTCAGGAGACCCCAGTTCAATTCCTGGGTCAGGAAGATCTGGAAAACAGATAGGCTACCCACCCCAGTATTCTTGGGCTTCCCTTGTGGCTCAGCTGGTAAAGAATCCGCCTGCAATGCGGGAGACCTGGCTTGGGAAGATCCCCTGGGGAAGGAAAAGGCTACCCACTCCAATATTCTGGCCTGGAGAATTCCATGAACTGTACAGTTGGTGGGGTCGTAAAGAGTCGGACACGACTGAGCGACTTCCACTAGATTTCTATGTATACAGTCTTGTTATTTATGAATAAAGAATTTTACATCCTTTTTTCCCATCTGTATGCCTTTTATTTCTTCTTGCCTTTTTACATTGGCCAAGACCACTAATACAGTGATGAAAAGAAGTGATAAGAACGTTGTTGCTTTATTTCTGTCCTTAGAGGAAATTAGTTCATTCTTCTTACTATTAATAGATGTTAGCTATAAATTTTTTATATGTACCTTTTACCAATTTGACTTGGTAAATCCCATTTCTATCCTATTCCTTTTCGACTATTCCTAGTTGACTAAGAGTTGGTTTTTTTTTTTTTTTTAACTTGTGGCTTAGTGTTGAATTTTGTTAGATGGTTTTTCTCCATCGATTGAAATGATTGTATTTTTACTTGTTTACTCAGTAAGATAAAATTACATCATTTTTTTCAAAATGCCTTAAAATTGGTGGTTCTTTATTTGCAAGCAGCTTCAAAAACTGTTTTGTGTATGTTGATTCATTTTTTAATGTTAAACTGATCTTTTATTCCTGAAGTAAACCCTCCTTGGTCATGATGTATTATGCTTTTAGCTATTCTAGATATAAATTCTTAACTATAGATAGCAAACATAAAATCAGGATGACATGAAAAAACATACTTTTGAGAAGTGGCAAAAGGTCTTGGGAATGGGTAACAAAAATATAAAACTTAGCAAAAAGGTTGGAAAATAAAGTTTGAAGAAGTTTCCTGGAAAGTAGAAAGTTGTAAAGTAGGAGTGAAATATAACTTTAGTGGATAATCCTAGAAATATACCTTTAACTATTAGAACTTCTGTTGCTATTTCTTGCTACAAAAATAATATTCCCCAAAATTGGAAGACCCACATTTCCACATTAAAAAGGCTGAATGCCACCAACTTTCCAGCTAGTCTAGATTATAGCCGGAGGATGGAGGGCCTCAGGAAGGCAGTCTCTAGGGAAAAATTGCAATGAATGAGTTTGAGTGTATGGAAAAATACATTGATAGGACTAATAGCAGAAATGTTGAGGTATTTTGAAAAAGTTAGTAACTACATGGAAAAACAAGCAGTGAAAAAAATGAGGCAATTATTAAACTGCTGGGGGTGGTGTGGGAGAACGAGTGTATAAGACAAAAGACATAGTTATCTCTAACTGCCTCTACTAAGAACCAAGTCCTTGGGCTTGCCAGGTGGCACTAGGGGTAAAGAACCTGCCTGCCAACGCAGGAGACATAAGAGACTCCTTATGAGTTCGATCCCTGTGTCACGAAGATCCCCTGGAGGAGAAGGTGGTAACCCACTCCAGTATACTTGCCTGGAGAATCCCATGGACAGAGGAGCCTGGCCAGCCACAGTCCGTGGGGTCACAAAGAGTCGGACACGACTGAAGCAACTTAGCATGCAAGAACCATGTTAGTGTAGTCATAGTAATGTAAATTTGGACCATGGTTTTAACCAAAAATTATGTCAGAACTATGTTGGGAGAATGAAGGCAGGAAAGTTGGGTGCAGGTGATATAGGAGAGCTTAGTTTTCACCTACCATGGTGGGAAGTTAGTAGATAAATGTCTGAAATGGGTATGTCATCACATGTAAACAACATGTAAAAATGATGATTAAAAAGAAGGGTAAACCAAAAGAATTAAAGGTAATTGCTTCTGCAAAGGGGTCACGAGAAATTAAAATTTTTTTTTTAAAAACCTATAACAAACTTCATTTTCCTTACAGAGATGCAGTATTTTGGAATGTATTTGGCCATAGTACATCCAGGTTTATTGTCACTGAAAGTTTCTCTAAAATGTCTTTACAGTCTAGCAATTTGTAGGTTTAGTTCAGTGCTTTGAATGGTAGACTCAGTTTTTGTTAATCAACAAATATTTATACAAAAGCAGACTTGACTAACACTTGTGTCTATTTTCCTTTTAGGTTTAAATTTTTGAAATTGAAGTAGGTCCACACGTTAGGAACTCATGTCTTTTCTTGTAAGTAAACCAGAGCGAATTAGGGTGAGTGTTTCTCTTCTTCTGCCTTTACTATTTTTATTTTCTGAAAAGCAATGTGTTTTGGCAGATATTGTAGACTTTTTTTTTTTAATGTGATGCTCAGAATCATATAGAAGTGAGAAATGTAGAAAGTCAAGCAGGCTCCACTCCAAAGAACAGAACTTGCAGGCACAGGCTGACCAGAGACACAGAATATAATATGCCCACCAGCTTGTCTGATAGAGAAGAAACAAGGTAGCTTATTTTTTGAGTATCAGTCATACATTAAATGAGTTGCTGGCCTTTTTTATTGTAGATATGCACCCACTAATGATCTGCCTGTTTCCTGCGCATTTTCAGAGAGTTTGTGGGTTTTAAAAATCAGCATCAAATTGCAATCATTGGAACACTTTTTTGAGCCCAGGCCATCAGCAGTAAAAGCACGGAGTCCTAACCACTGGACTGCCAGGGAACTGCCATCATAGGTTTTAACTGAAGACTCTGAAAAATTTTATTACACCTGAGAACTTCGCTAGCTAAAATGACCTCAGGAATAAATACTGGGTTTAGTGTCCATGATTTCGTAAAAGACTGTCTTATTTATTATCAAGTATTTAAATGCGGTAGCAATCATTTTAAATTCTTTAACACTGTATGTGTAATATGAGACGTTGTGAATGGACCACCCTCCTTTGTGGCCTGTGGCATCTCAGCTCCTTGATCAGGGATTGCACCTGAGCCACAGCAGTGAAAGCCTGGAATCCTAACCATTAGGCCACCAGGGAATTCCCTGAATATACTACTTTCTTTAAATATTAAGGTGCAAATTATATTTTGTGGTACAGTGCATATGAATTTTTTATATCAAGTTTTTTATTTAGGGTGTTGCTTTTTTACTTGGAAAAAATTGATACAGAGGATAGAGAATGATGGTATAGTTTCAATTCATAGTCCATATTATGTGACTTTTTTTTTGCAACTTATTTCTGAATGTTCCTTCCTTTTTCTTCTGTTTATGTGGATAAGAATTTATATTGGAAAGAATAAACTTTGCTATTAAGAGGGTAAAAAATTACAGAATCCCTCCTTGGCCTGAACTCTACCCAGTGGAAAGAATACCCTCAAGCCAATGGGCTTCCTGGTGGCACTAGTGGTAAAGATTTTCACCTGCCAGTGCAGGAGATGTGGGTTCAATTCCTGGGTGGGGAAGATCCCCTGGAGAAGGAACTGGCAACCCACTCCAGTATTCTTGCCTGGACAACTCCATGGAGGGAGGACCCTACCGGACTACGCTGCAGTCCATGGGGTTGCAAAGAGCCAGACAGGACTGAGCACACCCACAGGGAGGCACTAACTCCCTATTGTAAACTCTTAAGTGTTGATTCAAAGGAATGCCAGCCCTTAAGTGGAATGCAGCCTTGTTCCCTTTGCTTTTATGTATGAGCTGCTTTTCTCTCTCAACCTGATTCAGGTGAAACCAGACCTCTGATGATGGTATGATGGAAACCCATACTCGTTTGAAATAGGCCAGTTATGTAAACCATAGATCAGTCATGCTAGTTCAGTCCTTATAAACTTGGTAGAAAATTTAAATGTTGATGATGTCTTTAGAACTCCTACCAGATGAAAGAATATGTAGCTGGCTGATCCCTTTTACAAACTACTAGGAGCTTGTGAAAACCTGTTTCATCCCTGTTTTCTGTGCTGTGAATTCATCATATTTTTTCCAAATTGGCAGTAATGACCCAAAGCATCTATAGTAGACAGCCGTGGACTGACTAAGATGCAACCCAAAGGCAGTTTTATATACAGGAAGGACAAAAACATTCCTCATTATTAGGGCCAGTGCTACTTGTCATCTGTCAGATTTAAGAATTGCTCACCAAATTAGATAAGAATAGAGCAAGGAATTAATCTATTGTTTTCAGTCGATTTGAATCCCAGTTTCTTTTAAAAACTTTTCCTTAGTAATATAGCCTAACTATACTGCATGATTCAGTTTTCATAGTTGTATTTTTGTCTTTCTAATGGCTGATCGCTAATTTTTTGTGGCTTGGAAGAAGTACTAATTCTCTCTGGGGTTTTCCTCTTTAGCGGTGGGTCTCGGAAAAGTTCATTGTTGAGGGCTTAAGAGATTTGGAACTATTTGGAGGTAAGTACAGTATGGCTTTTAGCCATCACTTTAGGATAAATATCGCTACCCTTTTCTTGATTAAAATCAATTTATAGACATTAGCAATTCCAAGGGCAAGTTGTTATATTTATTTGGCTACAGCTTTTATATTTATTTGGCTCTTCTTTGAATCCATGGTTTCCCCCAAATCTGAGGGCTAATCTAGCAGTTAGTTGTCCTTGGCCTGTCTTGATTGTTAAAAAGCCAGTATTTACTTAAAAGCACACGTGTTTCTTCTTAAGTATTTGTCGAGTTGAAATACTTAAAAGGAAAAAAGTAGGTGTTTAAAAGCCTCTAGCCTTGAAGATTTAAAAAATAAAATTATGGTCAGGACAGAGGTAGCAATGATATAAAAGTTATGGTTTTACCGATGAATCTAGTTGACTCATCTTTTCATGAGACTTAAAAAGAAACTAAAGAAAAAAATCTGTCAGGACAAAGGCACTAACTTCCTATTGTAAATTCTAAATGTTGATTCAAAGTAAAGTAGATTTGCAATTTGGAGGTTTAATAGACCCAACCCCTTCCCTTTGGCTATTTTCAAATTGAGCTGTTTTTTGGAAACTGTGATCTTAATTGAAGGCAAGGAAAATTCCTTTTCTATAAAAATAATAGTAATAAAGCCCCATTCTTTATGTCTGAACACCACAGATACTCACTTTAGCTCCTATAGCTAAAGAAACGGAGAAGGCAATGGCAGCCCACTCCAGTACTCTTGCCTGGAAAATCCCATGGACGGAGGAGCCTGGTAGGCTGCAGTCCTTGGGGTCGCTGAGTCGGACCTGACAGCAACTTCACTTTCACTTTTCACTTTCATGCACTGGAGAAGGAAATGGCAACCCACTCTAGTGTTCTTGCCTGGAGAATCCCAGGGACGGGGGAGCCTGGTGGGCTGCCGTCTATGGGGTCACGCAGAGTCGGACACGACTGAAGCGACTCAGCAGCAGCAGCAGCAGCTAAAGAAATGGCTTATCAGATTGTATGTTGGTTAACTGATCCAAAATACCCTGAAAGGCTTGAGTAATTGAAAACTCAAAACACATTAGTTACCAGGTGGTACCTATTAATTTATTTTCCCTAATGCCACTCAGAAAACTTCTGGAGTTGAATTATTCATGAACTTTGTCGAAGGGTTGTATAAAAGACAAATGAGAGTTTAGAAAAATGAGTTATTTTTGTTTTGATTGTAAAGAATAAAAATAATATATACAATAAAGGCAAGGCTTATGGAACAGAAATGCTCCCATTCTCATTTTCTTCCCATCACTAATGGTAACACAATGGTTTTAAAGTAAACACTGGCATTGATGAAAATTGAGTTGAAAGTCCAGTTTACGTTAGTTTAAAATATTCCAGTTATGTGAATTAGATGAGTGGATTTTGATTTCGGTGTCTTGAGTGTAGGATTTCTGGGTGTCTTTTGATAATTGCCTAGTCTCTGATCTGAGGAGGATGAAGAAATTGTTCTGTATATTGTTTACAGCTTAATGAAGTGTATATTCAGGTTGATACAGCTTGAGATTTGCCTTCTGCTCTATGAAGACTGGGTTTCATTTCCTTTCACCTGTTCACCTGGCTTCTTATTTCTGACTGTAAGAAGCCTGTCTTAAGCAACCACTCCTGCCATTTGTATACCAGGAAACTGATCCATGGCACACACACACAAATCTTATTTTGATAAATTGAGGCTAATTTACTCTGCAGATATTTTGGGGATGTGTAATCATTCCAGTCCTTTACAGTTAGAATCTTTACTTCGATATTTTTCAGAATGGAGAAAATAAAAAGCATAGATACAGAAGTTGTCATCTTTTGGAGCAGAAAGTTATTTAAGCTGTCATTTGCTTTATTGATGTTCACCAGGCGTAGCAGAGGGCCCAAAAGCCCCTGCTTTATTTTCATTCAGAACAGAATGTATCTGACTGAAGAATCAAATTCAGTAATGGTCCCACAAACACAGGTTGCTGTATTAAAACTTCTTTTTTTTGGGCAAATCTATTTTTTATTTCCTGTACTCCCTGGGAAATCACCAACAATGTCTATAATTTTATAATGAGTTTTTATAAAAGTGTAAGACTCTGAAACCAGCCTATTGAAAGTAATGTTGCATTCTGTTGGAAAGTAATTGTATAACTGAAACTATAGCAGTTGAGTCATAATCAGTAAAGAATACCCGTAGAATAAGAGTCTTGCCAAGTTTTGAAGAGCCATAGATTCATGTTTAAAAGCCCATGTATCTGCAGGATTTTTGCTCTGGATCTGTGTGTGTGTGTGTGTGTGTGTGTGTGTGTGTGTGTTTATATGTAGCACTGCAGGTGGTTTTTGCTATAATGACTTAAGTGGTTTCTATTAATAAATGTAGTCTTAAGTGCAGTAATGGCTGTTCTGCATGTGGGTGTGTCTTCTGCCAAAAACACAAAATGCCAACAACCAATTTCTCTACTCCAGAGCAGCCTCCGGGTGACACTCGGAGAAAAGTAAGTGATTTCCTAGGCTCTTGTACCATGGCTGTTGCATGGAGTTGATTTGTGGAGCTCCGTTTGGTTTTTTGGTTGGCTTATCATTTTACATTTCTGCTCATCTGCCCTTGAGTTTTATTTGCAATATCATTCTTCTTGTGGGGACTCAGGTTTCACCCCGGAGAGATTCTGATGTGTACTTTGAAAACTGAAAAAACATCTCAGGCACTTTTTCTCTCTCCTCCCCCTCCTAGCCCTCCCAATCACCTGGCCGCCCTCTCCAAAAAAAAAAAAAAGAGAGAAAGTTTCAACAATCTAACGTGGTTATCTTGCAGTAACTAGTGGTACTATATTTTCTGTCCTTAGTCAATTAATAATAGATTTCAGTCCACAGAGAGTATATAGATCTCTGTCTATACTATAAGGCAGGACTTCCAAATCTACTTTAAAAACAAAACCCCAGATTTTAATGTAGAAAACAGAAAATGTATTATTTTATTGGCAGAAGTTTTAAGAATCCTGCCCCACTTCTGACTCTTCTAGTTTATTTTACCAATGGGAATAACAGCAGCAAACCAAGCTGTTTCTAATATGGTGAATCAGAGTCTTATGCAGAGAGAATCAGAGCCCTTTTCTCCATAGACCTCTTCCTCTTTTCCAATAACAACCTTTGTGCCTTTTGCAAGCAGCTCCGAGATGGGTGAAAGATAATGCTGCTGACTAGTTTATTTTTTTTAGGAGTTTATCTTTGAGTAAAGCTTGCTTAGCAGTGCCTATCAGATCCGAGTATTTTCCAGTCAGGAGACCAAAAACGTGCCCTGTACGAGCAGTTAGGTGTTTTTCCAGAGTACAGTGCCAGTGTATATAGTTTTTATATTTCCCCAGCTGCTGATTTTATACCAGAAGTCATCCTGTGTGAAACCTGTGGGGGGTTGGATGTACTTATTTGTTGGGCATTTCATAGATAACTAGTCTTTGTGTGCTTTATTTCATTTTGTTTTATATTCTTTAAACAAAGTTATTTAATGGTCATTTCTCAATATCAGTAGCTTGTGTATTTTTCAAATGCTTCAGAATGAACAAAATACTTTTCACTGTAGGGGAAACTAAGAAAAGACTTTGATAGAATTAGTTCTTTCTCCAGGCAATTTGAGATTACACATTACACCAATAAAACTATGGCATGCTATGTTTAAAGAGAATGGACTTCATATCTCATCCTTTTCATCTGAATTCTGACCTTGTCTAAATCTGAAACAGTGTAATGGACTAACCTGCCTTTCTTGTGGGAAAATCAGACCAAACCTCTTCCTTTTGAAATATTATTGCCTTTGTTTGTTTTCCTAAATAAAGATCAGTTTCTCTCTGAGTTCAGACCGTAGAACATGCACAGTGCAGAAAGCCTCCATGTTAGGGTCATTTCCAGGGAGCTGGGGACAGAATGGTAGAGGGGCCACAGCAATCGGCACTAGTTCATTTCATAAAACTCCAAACTGCCCAGGGAACTCACTCATATTCCCAGTTACCTAAAGAGTTTCATTTTCTAAAACACTTTAAGGTACTTTTCTGTAGTCAACAAAGACAGTTGAAATACTGCATTTGTCAAGTTACAAGCTAATTATATCAGTAATTAAATGAATCATTCCTTACCTAGGCTCAACAGAAATGTGACTTTAGTGCACAGACAGTATGTCTTACATGCACTCTTGGCAAGAAAAGGGGAGATGGGTAGTTTTAAGAAAAAGTATCCCATCTGTAGTTTTTCCAAAGGGAATTATTAAAAATGCATGTAAAATTTATCTCAGGACTCAACTGTCTTTCATAATCCTCTTTTTCAAATTAGAGAAGCATAAGGCATTTTGCATAGAGATCAGAGGAGGGACCTTAAAACACAGTCATTCTAGATTTGTTCTCATCGGGGCCATATTGCTAGCTGCTAAAATACACAGTACTTTCTCTCATGCAGGTGTCAGATTCTGATCTGTAAAGTTCCCCCGGTAACAGGAGCTAGGGAGTGTGTCGTAGGAGGACTAGCGTTCGCGGTCTAGGTCTGTATGTTGAACTGTCTCCAATGGAATGGGCTGGTACGTTTGCTTCTCTTCAACCCATGGGAATAACAAGGTCATGGGCAGAAAAACCTCCTGAGTTCAAATGCTGGCTTAAATTTTCTTTTTTTTTTTCTTTTCCTTTTTTTGGCCACACCGTACCAGGGAAGTCCCATAAATGATTCTTTTTTAAGTAGATGCCAGGATGGTTGTATGCATCAGGGAATACATGAGTGAAGAGACAGGTCCTGTCCCCACAAAGCTTATATTCTAGCAGAGGAGACAAGACAGTAGACAAAATAAACTGTGGTGATCACTACAGAGAAAATCGCAGTGATCCCAGAGGGGAGAAATGATAAAGTGACTGGGTGCCTGCTTTCCTTTGACTAGAATAGATAACATTAAGTTGCAGCCCCAGAGGTAAGGAGGAAGCATCAACGAGAAGGTGGTGAGGGCAGGGAAGGAGCAGGTCAGGAGTGACCCAGACAAAGGGCCAGCTGGTGTGCATTTGCTACAACCGCTTGCTCGCGGGGGTCAGGTGCAGCGCGGGCAGTGATGTGTGGGACGAAGTCAGGGAAGTAGGCGGCGGCTGAGTCAGGTGGGTCCTCGGAGGCCAGAGTAGGGGCTGTGTCTGAAAGCACCCCCTGGGTTTTCTGTTAACTGGCGATGCTGATTTTCCTGAGGGTAGATTGATACTTGAGAAAACAGTGAAGCAGAGTGAGAATATGCGTAGCGAGTTCCAGGTTCATGGTTATGATGGCTCTCTCCTCGATGAGCGCACCCTGCCGGTGAGATTCTCCACAGCTGGGGGTCGCCTCCTCGGAGCTCTCCACGTAGGCTTTTGGCTCGGATTGCTACTCCGTTTTGTTCCTTGATGGTCTGAATCTCTCTCAGCTGCGTGAGGCACCTGGCATGTAGTAACCGGTGTCTGGTCTGCAGATGAGACTCTGAAGAAGCTGCAGTGGCTGTTAAGTTATCCTGGAATCTGTTTTCAGAGCATCTGAAAGCACAGCTACATGCAAAAACCAAAAGCAAACCAACCTTAACCGTGGCTCGAGCTCTGTTTAGGAGTCTCTGTTTTCTCCATCTTCTCTGTTCCATCTTCTTTGTAGAACAGGAGAATGACCAACAAGTAGACAGCAGGAGAGGGAGAATAGAATTCATGTTTACTGAATACCTGTGATCCACCAAACAGCGCTGAGCTCTGTACGTTTCATCTCATCTCATCTCATTGTCACAGCCACTCTGTGAAGTGGGAATTATTCCACTGATGAGATAACTGAGATCCCAGGGGTCAGAGGGACTTGCCCAGGGTCACAGCACAAGTGACAGACTGAGGTCAAGTTCAGCCTCTCCCTGGCCCCTAAGCCTTGAGTCTTTGTTTTGCTTCCCTTCCCCGAATTATCTTCCCCCAGATTTAACAGATGTGAGACACACAAGGCATCTTTGAGAAATATGTTAGGTTAAACAGTGTTAGTCTTTGTCAGACTGCAGAACTTCTCAAAGCCTTTAACATGCGTGCATCCCTTGTGATTGTCCATGAGAAGGAGTATGCTGCATGTTGTAACTTAACTGGATGTGTAGACTGTTTTTTATGCATTAACTGCCAGGATCAGTGTTCCATGGGGCCTACTTTGGGGAAATCAAAAAATTGTAGAAGAATGGGGGAAAAACAAAAAATGGATAAGAGACAGAGGCATTTTCACTCTGGAGAAAATCCACACGGCCAATAAATACATGAAAACATGCTCAACTTCATTAGCAGTCGGAAATGTAAATCAAACCCACAGAGAGACTGACAAAAATTAAGTCCAAATATACCAAGTGTTGAGGAAAAGCTGGGTCGACAAGAGGGAGAGTCTTGCTGGCAAGAGTGTAAACTGATGTAACCTTTTTAGAAACCAGTTTGGCATTTTTCTCCTAAAGTCAAATGTTCATATACTCTCTGACCTCCAGTTCCACTTCATCAGTATAAGCTTTAGCATAACTCCTGCATGTATGTGTCAAGGGACCCATTCGAGTGTGTTTTTAGTAGCACAGTTCATAATAGCAGACTGAAAAGTAACCCCAAAAGCCCATCAGCATTGGAAGGATAGACTGGAGCTGTTCATAAGATAAATATTACACAGTATGGTTAAATACACCAATATAAGTGAATCTTAGACATATAAAGTCGATTAAATGAAAACTACACTTTGCTGACAAGACTCAACTTTGTTTGACTGGGTTCCTCTTAGTGTAAGCGCTGCTGGAGACAAAACCCCATTTGGTTTCTTGCACCACCAGCAGCATCAGTTGTTTTGAAAGCAGATGTGTTTCAAACGTCAGGGACCCTCCACAAGGTGATACCAGCATTCCAGAACGTTTCTCAGCTCACACACTCTGCTGGCTCATGCTGAGCCAAGAGCCTCAGAGTCTTCGAAGACCTTTTCCTAACCAGAAGGCAGGTTTATGAATGCAGCCTATGAAATACAAGCTGGTCTAAGAGTCTTTGTTTCAGTTAGACACACATCTGAGGAAAAGAGGATCCAGGAGAAAAGTGCTGATAGTCCCTAAATCATACAGATTAATTTAGATCTGGAAGAAGGACACTGAGCCTATTGAACTGAAGGAAGAGCTATTGGCCTGCTGTTTACTTTTTTGGGCATTTCCCATCAGGACCTCACCTGTGATGCCTGCATCCGAAGTGGCTGAGACCCAGCTTCATCTGCAGCTGAAGTGCACAGGGCCCGGGGAGTGGGTCCCTTCTGCTCCCTGGGATGATGGCCAAGACCTGATGGCTCTGTTCCCTGCCCGTAGCCCCATGTGTTTGCTGTTTTCTAGCTTCCCTTGGAAGGGAGTGACTGGTCTGGCCTCTTTTTTTAAAATTAATTTATTTTGCTGTACGGGGTCTTAGTTGTGGCATGCAAACTCTTAGCTGTGGCCTATGGGATCTAGTTCCCTCACTAGGGATTGAACCTGGGTCCCCTGCATTGGGAGCTCGGCATCTTAGCCACTGGACTGCCAGGGAAATCCCTTGGCTGGCCTCTTGGTTTGTTAATGAGGGAGCCTCTTATGGCCAGTAGTGAGATTCAATATTTGATCTTTGGGATTTTTTTTCATCAGGATGTTAAAAATAGGGCCCTTCTTGCAGCTGGACATCCAAGAGAACCCCATACCTACCCATCTCCCTTCTCTTTTCTAAATAAGCTTTTCTCTGGACATCCTTTACCAGGTAAGAACTTCAGAGCTTTTAGCTATGAGCCAGCTAAAGCCACAGCTTTTAGCTATGAGATGATCCAGTTGTTGGGAAGGACAAGCAAATCAACTGTCAACTACACCTGGCTCTCATCCCCACCCCTATTTGTAGTTAGCCCTCACACGTACTCTTAATATTAGTGCTAGTGACTGCACTGAACTGCTGAGGTTTTACTTTACCTTTCTCACCAAACAGTGCTGGAACTGTTTCTTTGCTCCACACTCCAAATTTGTATGTTTGTTTAGATGCCAGTCTCCTTGTGGGTCTGAATTACCATCTTCCCCTCTCCCGCCCCTGCCTCCAAGTTTCTCTCACTAACCTGTTTTTCTTTTCCTTTAGACCAATGAGGCGAGCTCAGAGTCGATAGCATCCTTCTCTAAGCCGGAGATCATGAGTAGCTTCCTGCCAGAGGGAGGGTGTTATGAGCTGCTCACTGTTATAGGTAATGTCCAGGACTGTCATGCGCCAGGGGACCATGGTGGTCTTTTCAGCATCCTCAGATGAATGTGTGCCAGAAGCTGTCAGCCAGTTAGCAGGATGTGTGGTGACAAAACTGGCTTTTTTGGGCAGGGTCTTTTGTGGTTTTCTTCTTCAAGGTATGGAGAAAGAGATCAATCACATTTTCAGGAGAGGAGCTCTTTTTCAGTTTTTTTCTGCACACTCCTGGTGTCCTGGGCCATCATCAGTTAGAATAGTTGTCTGAGAAGGAACTGATGGAAGAAGAAAAAATCAAGACATAAGAGAAGTGAAAGTTCTAACTTGAATTTTCTTTTAAAATCAAGTCTTTTTTTTAAAATTGGTGAATAGTTGATTTCCAACGTTGTGTTAATGTCAGGTGTATAGCAAAGCATTTCAGTTACTCATATACATATATTCATTCTAAAATCAAGTCTCTTTAAAGAAGATGAAAACTGGTATTGCTCTTGTCCCTGTTTACGGCCTTATTTTAGGCAAAGGATTCGAGGACCTGATGACAGTGAATCTAGCAAGGTACAGACCAACGGGGGAGTATGTGACGGTACGAAGGATTAACCTCGAGGCTTGCTCCAATGAGATGGTGACGTTCTTACAGGTAATCAGAAATGATTGACACTTGGAGGGTGGGCTCTTAGTCCCAGTAGTAACTACAAGGCATGTTTACATCTGTCTTCTGAAATAGCTGGCAGGAAACAAAGGTAGACCAAGCCAAGAAGTTAAGGAAGCTATCAGTGAAGAATCTTGGACATTTGGTGTTAAGGATTCTATAGCACTGCTCAGCCCGATGTATATTTCCCTCTTCTCTAGAGACTCCTTGTGGCTCCTTTATTCATGTATCTATTATTCAGCAAGGCTAAGGAACTCGCCCCTGGTCACACACACTAGTAAGTGACAAACTCCACACACAGACAGCCTTTTCTGGTGCAGGGACAAGGGCCTGAGTCGGTGTATTTTAAGTACAGTTGGCTGGGCCCCTTTCCCTTCTTCAATTACAGCGTTTTTCTGAATTCAACTCATCCGAAGGTGCTCTAATACCAGTTCATATGTTCAGAGTAGTTTTGTGGGTCTCAGGGTGGGAGAGAAAGTCAATCCTAGCTCAGTTATTTGGAAAAAAACATACCTGAGTTTGTTTGAGAGCGCATAGGGCTCTGTGATTCTTTTCTTCATTCTATAGAGCTGTGGATAAGTTAGAAGGGGCTGGCTATTTGGACTTGGCTCGTTTCCCAGAGGCCAGGACCCTGGAGTTTCTGCAGTTCTTTTGTCCAATTTTTTTTCACATCCTTTGTCCAAATTTACTTTAGAATTCCATCAGTCTTATGCTTTCTATAGCTGCTTCTGAGGAAGGGAGCTCTCAACCTGAGGTCGCTGGAGAAATCTCTTCTGATGTTCAGTAGTTGTTCTTAATGCACTGTTTCCATATTTCCATTTCTAACAACACTTTCCTTTGTAATAGGAAAACATTTTTTGTTGTTGTTGTATTATTATCTTAAAGAGGAGTTCTGTGCCTTGGCCCTTGAAGTTGAGCTAAGCTTTTAACTTCCCAAGTCTTCAGTCTGCAGTTTGTTTTCATGTCTGCGAGGCAGTGCACTGCCACCCTCTGCTGGCTCAGCAGTTGCCCTGGCGGTGGCGAATGGTTCTCAGGCCCTTTAGGATTGACTGGCAGAGCCAGAGTTAGGCAGAAGCTGGTGGAGCAGGGCTGACTTCCCTGCAGAGACAGCAGAGCCTGGCTCCTCATCCCAGTCCCGGCTGCTCCCGGGATCCTAGGTTCCAGTAGTGTCCACGCTGCCACCATCATGTTGTGCGTTCTCCTCGGTGCCCCTTGGTTCTTTTTTAATATTTATTTGGCTGCACCAGGTCCTAGTTGCAGCATGTGAACTGTAAGTTGTGACATGTGAGATTGAGTTCCCTGACCAGGGATCGAACCTGGGCCCCTGGCGTTGTGGAGTGTGGAGTCTCAGCTCCAGGACCACCAGGGCAGTCGCTGCCCCCTGGTTCTGACTGCGGCTCACCAATGCTTGCAGGGGGAACTCCACGTCTCTAAACTCTTCAGCCACCCCAACATCCTGCCCTACGGAGCCACCTTCATTGCCGACAATGAGCTGTGGGTCGTCACGTCGTTCATGGCATACGGTGAGTGGGCAGGGGGTCCTGGCGGAGAGGGGTTCTGAGCGCTCTGCCGGCAGGCAGCTCGCTCATGCGCTACCGCCTTCCCTGTCCCTTCCGGCCTCTCCCTCAGGCTCGGCCAAGGACCTCATCTGCACGCACTTCATGGACGGCATGAGCGAGCTGGCCATCGCTTACATCCTGCAGGGGGCGCTCAAGGCCCTGGACTACATCCACCACATGGGCTACGTGCACAGGTGCTTGCTTCCGCAGGCCTCTCACCCTTTACAAGAGCGGTGTCTGGGGTCGTGAGCCCCCAAAGAAATGGCTGAAGGTTGAAGTCAGTGAAGCCAAAGGTTAAATCGAGGCGCGAGTCCTGTCCGTGCCTTTGCTGGGGGCACGGGTCATTTGCCCTGTCCGTGTGAAGCTGCTGACTTTCTCTTTACCAAGCAGCTTTTTCCTGAGTACTGTGCGAGGGGACCGACTATCCAACGTGGGCCTCTGCACCCACCCCCTCCCTCCTTGGAGCACCCCTGCTGGGGTGTGCTTTCCCCCGAGTCAGCTCTCAGCTGGGAGGCTCAGGAAAAGACAGATTGCTCAGGAGATGGTGTCGGGGAGAAGCAGTTCGGGGTAGGGAAGATGATACAACCAGGACCTCTCCCTAATTCCACGTGCAGATGTTTTCACGCCTAAATGCAAGCTCTAGGCTTACATAGAAGGAAATGCAAGGAAATATTTTTGTGACCCGAGGCGTACCATAACTTCTAAATGTTTTATACACACAAACCATTAAGGCAAAAAAAAAAAAAGGATGGATTCGATTTGATTATATCACGATTAAAGCTTTCTCTCCAATACAGGGCACCAGGGACAAAGTTAAGAAAGGAGTTAGAGTGTGGAAGCTGTTCATCTTGTCCAAAACCGATTTTGTGAATCCATAAGAAAAGGATAGCAAAGCAATAGAAAAATGAGCAAAGGATATGAAGTTTATACAAGAGAAAACCCAAAAGACTAATAATGGTCATATGAACAGACACTCTAGCGAGGCTTCTCAGGTGGCGCAGTGGTAAAGAACCCGCCTGCCAATGCAGGAGACCTAAGAGACTCAGGTTTGGTCCCTGGGTTGGGAAGATCCCCAGAAGTAGGAAATGGCACCCCACTCCAGTATTCTTGCCTGGGAAATCCTATGGGCAGAGGAGCCTGCCGGGCTATAGCCCATGGGGTCACAAAGAGTCAGACGTGACTCAGCAAGAATCAGAAAATCAAATGAAAACAAGGTGATGTCACCTTATGCCTGTGGGGGGCCTGGCAGGGATTCAGAGGCTGGGTGAGGACCAGTGTGGTGAGGAGGTGGGTCTCCCATCCAGATGGTAGAAGGTGGCCCCATGCAGCCAGTCAGGGTCACTCAGAACCGGGGCCGCTGGTGCCGGCTGTCCTCTGGGTGCACCCCCCAAAGAAGCCCTCCCACCGGCACCTCAGGGGCTGTGTGTATAGACATCTGTGTTCACATTCGTGCTGGTTAGAGACAACACGAGTGCCCCTTCCTAGAAGAATGGATTAGTAAATGTCAGACCCCCCTCCAGAGTGCAGGTAGCAATTAAAAGCAACAGTGAGGTGTATACCATTGGCAACACAATGGGGCTCAGAAACATAACCCTGAAACATGGGCTGCCTAATACAGTACCATGAGGTCAGAACAGAAGATGCGTGCGAAACAGTAATCCACTTTATGAGAACACCTACAAACAGAAAGTACAGATTAAAGGCAGTGGAGGAAGACACTAGAGGAAGCAGTGGTCTGTGAGCATAAAAGAGAACTTGAACAAAACATAGATAAGTTTTAAAACCTGGTCATGTGTAAATGGGGTCATGATGTTTTTTCTCTTTACGTATGTTTGAAATTTTTCACAAAAATACATGTTCATGTATATATAATATGTATGTATATCTGTACTCACATATGTATGTATATTTTGTTTAGTGGCTAAGTCACATCCGACTCTCTTGCAGTCCCATGGACCGTAACCCACCAGGCTCTTCTATCCATGGGATTTCTCAGACAAGAATACTGGAGTGGGTTGCCATTTCCTTCTCCAGGGGGTCTTCCTGACCCAGGGATCAAACCTGAGTCTCCTGCTTGGCAGGCGGATTCTTTAACACTGAGCCACCAGGGAAGCAATAATCTCCATGTTTGTGTATAATATACGCCCCAGGGGAGACAGCTGACTGGGTCTGGTGTGTGAAGACAAAGGTTTGTGCTGTGAGGGCCTCCTCTGCCGCCTGGTGACACACACCGCCTACCCCGCAGGAGCGTCAAAGCCAGCCACGTTCTGATCTCCGCCGATGGGAAGGTCTACCTGTCGGGTTTACGCAGCAACCTCAGCATGATCAGCCACGGACAGCGGCAGCGTGTGGTCCACGACTTCCCCAAGTACAGTATCAAGGTTCTGCCCTGGCTCAGCCCGGAGGTCCTCCAGCAGGTCGGTGCCCTGGATCTCAGGAGCCCCCGCCCCCACTGACTCATGATACCGCCCCCCCCCCCGACTCATGATACCGCCCCCCCCACCCCCAGGAGGCCTTCAGGAAGTTCTAGGGATGGGGGGCGCCCTCTGCTTCTGAGCAGAGTAGGGGGTTCTTGGAGAGCAGGCTCCCCTGTTCTCCGGTAGACCTGGGAGGCCCCTCACAGCACAGGTGTGCTGTGTCCCTGGAAGGTGATGTCATTACCCCTGGTGGGTCCTGAGCTGCACTCAGACTCCCTTCAGAGATGCTCCCATCTTACGGGAAGCATCTTATGGGAAGCAAATTTTCAAGCATTTGGTGCTCTCTCTGCATCCCTACGCTAAGCAGAGCACTTCCTCCTGTTCTCACATGGCTTCAGCCAGACACTCATTCCTCCTGAAATAGCAGTGACTCCTGAGTGTACAGGTGAGGGTCGCAGCTCATCCCGATTTGGGGACAGTTTCCACCTGCTTCTTTGTCTAAGAACAACCAAGGCTCCAGTGGAGTGACCTGTGGCTCTTCTCTCCTGATACAGAATCTCCAGGGTTATGATGCCAAGTCTGACATCTACAGCGTGGGAATCACGGCCTGTGAGCTGGCCAATGGCCACGTCCCCTTTAAAGACATGCCTGCCACCCAGGTGAGCCTGCAGCCAGGGATCTCCTTCTGTCCTCCTTTCCTGTCTGCCTCCCACAAATGCTTGTTGAGGACCTGCCACACTCTGGACACCAGCCCGAGATGCTAGGATGAACAACCCAGGCTTTTCCTTCAAGAGCCCCAGTGTGTGTGTGTGTGTGGGAGGGCAGGGGGGGTAGTTGTGTAACCATTTACTTGTGTCTGTGATAACTGCAGTGGAAATGGAGCCTGGGAGGTGGGGGTCACAGAAGCAAGCACTGCTCATAATCACAGGCCTGGAGCCCACATACCAGGAGTCTTTTTTTACTTTTAAGCTGACATTTTTTCCTCCCAATTTTTGGCTGCATCACATGGCATGTAGGATCCTCGTTCCCCAGCCAGGGGTTGAACCCATGCCCCTTGCAGTAGAAGTGTGGTCTTAACCAACTGGACCGCCAGGAAAGTCCCTGAGAAATTTTTTAAGTTTATAAAGTATGTTTTGTTTTTTACTTTGATCAGTACACCTGGAAGCTGTTGTTCTTCAGATACTAAGTCATGTCCAGCTCTTTGCAACCCATGAACTGCCACACGCCAGGCTTCCCTGTCCTCCACTATCTCCCGGAGTTTGCTCAAGTTCATGTCCATTGAGTTGGTGATAGTGTAGAAGGCCGATTTCTAATTTAGAATTAGACTTCTCAGGTTTAGTGCTACCACGTTCCAGTCCATACCTTTGCAACCTTCAGCCTCCTTCTGTTCATGCCCGCCCCCGGTTTTTTTAATTTACTTATTTTTAGCTGGAGAATAATTGCTTTACAATAGTGTGTTGGTTTCTGCCATATATCAGCATGAATCAGCCATCGGTGTACACAGGTTCACTCCTTCTTGAACCTCTCTCCACCTCCCACCCTGTTCACGCCCCTTTGAACTTGCCTGCTGCCCTTGGCTTCTCGGCACACATGCACCCAGGAGTCTGCATTGTCTCCCTTGGAGCTGGACTCAGGGAAGAGACTTATCCAGGTCTTGCCAAGTCCAGGAAGTGGACTTGGGTCATTTGGGCAAGGATTACCTGGGGCCCAAGTTCCTGGAGCATGATCTAGACCTGGGAGGAGGCGGGGGTGGGGGTGGGGGGGCGGGGGCGGGGTTATGCCCACTGAGTAAGCCTCTCCTTGAACCCACAGATGGCCTGCCCCGTGGAGACAGGGGCGGCTGGAGAGTGGCCAGAGGGCAGCTCTAGAGGAGGGAACCCAGGGAGGCTTCAGGGAGGGGACACTTGAGACTTGAAGGCAAATAGGAATTAACTAGGTGAAGAATAGGCAATGGCACCCCACTCCAGTACTCTTGCCTGGAAAATCCCATGGACGGAGGAACCTGGGCTGCGGTCCTTGGGGTCACTAGGAGTGGAACACAGCTGAGCGACTTCACTTTCACTTTTCACTTTCATACACTGAAGGAAATGGCAACCCACTCCAGTGTTCTTGCCTGGAGAATCCCAGGGATGGGGGAGCCTGGTGGGCTGCCGTCTATGGGGTCGCACAGAGTCGGACACAGCTGAAGCGACTTAGCAGCATTAGCAGCAGCAGGTGAAGAATGGGAGCTTCCAGTGGAAAGAAGCTTTTCAGCAGAGGGAACAGCCTGTGACAGACCCAGTCAAGAAAGAACAGAATCTGAGGACAGGAGATGTGTGGCTGAAGTATGAGTGCTTCTGCAGGGCTGCCAGGTGACATGGCTGGAGAAGGAAGCCCAGGCAGGTCACGAGGGACTTTGTGAGCCAGGCCAGGGTGTCATGTTCCTGTCCTAGGGCATGTGGAGAATTGTCAAAGGCTTCTGAGCACAGGAGTGATAGCATCAGATGCATGTTTCAGAAAAGTGAGTCTCGCAGATGGATGAGCTCTGGTGGACTGGACAGGAGGATGTGGATGTCTGTCTAGGTACAGAGTCGAGAAAATCAAAGTAAGACAGTGACAGGCCTTTTCCCACTTCTGTCTCTGCTGCCCCCGAATCACTCGTGTGTTTGGGGAAAAGTGGACTTGTGAGGGAACTCTGGGGTCCTTCCGGGGGCCCCTCCAGCCGGCCCTGGCTGTCCTCCCCAGATGCTGCTGGAGAAGCTGAACGGCACGGTGCCCTGCCTGCTGGACACCAGCACCATCCCCGCCGAGGAGCTGACCATGAGCACCTCGCGCTCGGCGGCCAACTCGGGCCTGAGCGAGAGCCTGGCCCCCAGCACCCCCAGGGCCTCCAACGGCGACTCGCCCTCCCACCCCTACCACCGCACCTTCTCGCCCCACTTCCACCACTTCGTGGAGCAGTGCCTTCAGCGCAACCCGGACATGAGGTGCTCCTGCCGGGCTTGGGGTGGGCCTTGGGGGAAGCCAGCAGGGGCTGGAGAGGACGCCTCTGTCCTGGGAGGGGCTGGGTTCCCCGCAGGAGTCTGAAGTCCCCACAGCAGGAGCAGGTGGCACAGGGTTTGTCAGGAAGCTGGCCTGGGTCACTCTGGCTGTAGTTTCTTGGGGAGCCAAGGGCAGGAGGGGGCACTTGACGGTAAGGCAGCAGTAGCAGTATTCTGGAAACGGCATGGGGTGATGCTGGTCTCTCCTTCCTCCACAGACCAAGCGCCAGCGCGCTCCTGGGCCACTCGTTCTTCAAGCAGGTGCAGTAGCCTCCCTGGGCCCATGGTGGTTCGCCTTGCTTGTGGCCTCAGCCACCCTCAGTCCCCTTAGTTTCGGGTCTTTAGATATTGTCTCCTCCTCCCTGGAGGAGGCTCAAATGGTAAAGAATCTGCCTGCAGGGTGGGAGACCCGGGTTCAGTCCTTGGATCGGAAGATCCCCTGGAGAAGGGAATAGCTACCCACTCCAGCATTCTTGCCTGGAGAATTCCATGGACAGAGGAGCCTTGCAGGCTACAGTCCATGGGGTGGCAAGAGTCAGACATGACTGCATGACTAACACTTTCATTTTACCGAAGGGTCAGACATGACCATGTTTCTAAAGCCCATTAAAGGCGCTGATCCTTCCTCTCCCCTGCTGCCTTCAGCAGCCTGTCTGTTCCTGAGCCATGGTCCCTTGCCCCACCATGTCCTGAGGCTCAAAGCAACAGGATCCACCCGCAACTCTCTCTCCTTCCCCAGATCAAACGACGTGCCTCAGAGGCTCTGCCTGAGTTACTCCGACCTGTCACCCCCATCACTACTTTTGAAGGCAGACAGTCTCAGGATCACAGTGGGATCTTCGGCCTGGTAACAAACCTGGAAGAGCTGGAGGTGGATGACTGGGAGTTCTGAGCCTCTGAAGAAGGTGCACGTTCTCCATCCTGGGCTGCGTGCGCCTCTGGGACCCTTCCCAAGGGCTGGCCACATTGCCACCATCCTGAGGGCAGATGAGGCAGAAAGGACATTTCCACCAGGAGAGTTGGCTGCTTAGGGACTGGAAAGGCAACTCTTGGAGAGAAACTTTACTGCTTCAAGGCTTCTGAGACACGAGGGAGCCCCAACACCCAGGGATCGGGAGGGGCCAGAAATCTAACATTCCCTGTCCTATGAGCTCAGGCGACCTGACCTCTGCAGAAGGAAGAGACATTGTCCTATTCTGGCCGTGGGGGCTGTGAAGTTCAAGCCCAGGGTTAGACTCGCCTGGGGAGCTGTGTGACTTATTCCCATGCCGGCTCTCCCATCAGCCTAGTTCCATTCTTCTCCCCTACTTTCAGATCCTATAGGTTCATGGAGGGACCCCCCCCCCAACCGTTTCCCCAGGTCTCTCCCTAATAACTGAAGGACAGGGTATTTTTTTCTCTTTAAGCACTAGATTAAGGCTGGGGTGGTCCATCCTCCTCTCACTCGGCCCCTGACCCCAGAAACCTTCCCTTGGTTCATCTGGGTAGCTCCTTCCTTTCCCACCAGGAGTCCATCTAACTGAACCCTGCTGGCTGCCTTGGTGCTGCCCAGCCTGAGGGGCTTAAGTTCTTATGCCATGTTAGTTTCATTGCCAGAACAAATTAAAAAGTTCCAGAGAATCCACTGGAGAGTGACATCATTGTGCATTGGCCACACAGGCTCAGACACAAGTCATCCCGCCCTGGGTTCTGCCATCTGAGAGCATTTCCATGCATGCCCATGGAGCCATAGCAGTGACCACCTTCATAAGACAGCCTCACAATACACATTTCATTTCAAACCCATGATAGATTTGTCTAACTATCTGATGTTGGGACCATTTTGGCCTGTAGCTATCAAAACACTTTGGAGCAGGAAGGGTCTGAGGTCTGAGTGCTGGCCCTGCCTTGGGACCACGTCTGGGCCAGCGGAGGCCAGGCAGAAGAGGCTCCCTTTTGGCAGGAAAGGAGGTGAATGGGATTGTTTTGCAATAGGACTCATGGTGTCTCCTTACCCTGGAAACTAATACTCAGAGAGCAGGTAACCTAAGACCCAGACCTGGTCCTCCCCTCCGTCCTGGCTGGTGGCCAGGAGTCTGGGCCAGGGGTCAGGATGACCTGGGTCTCCTCCATGGTGCTTCCTCCTGGCCTGCATGCACCCTGGCCGGGCCCCTTCCCCTACCCATCCCCATCCCACGGGGTGGGTGCCCCTCTAGCGAGCTCTGGCTCTTCAAATGTCAGACCAAGGAAGTGCCCCTCCCTCCCTTCCCTGTAGCTGCTTCACCCCATCTATGCCCTCGCTTTCCCTTTCCTGAGAAACTATAACACCACTTTGAAAAAAAATAACTCTTCCCCAGTTACAGGGGTTAAGGAGAAGGCAGGACCCTGGAGGGAGTGGGGAACCCTGAAATGGAGGGAGTGAGCAGGCCAGCTCACATTTATTTCCAACCCTCCTGCCCAGTTTGGTTTTTCTTTTTTTTCTTCTTCTTTAAACCTCAAGTTCCCTTTTCTTCACACCATTATCAGCTTGTTTTCTTTCCTCTGGTTTGCTTGCTTCACCTTGTCATCAGCTCATCCTTAGCACGCAGAGTGCTGATTCTGTGGGAACTGCTGCAGCTCGGCACACGGATGGTCCTGGGCAGGGCCAAGGGGCCAGGCGGTGCCCAGGGGCTAGCCTAGCGCTGCTCCCCACACTTCCGCGGGCTTCACCTTTCTCACATCACCCCAACCCCCTTGAGAATCTGAAGACAGACAGGTGTGGAAGCTCAGATGGAAAAGAGAGGGCCCTTAACAGTTTCAGTTCTCACGCACCCAATCCGGGGAGGCCTGAGGGCTGCAGCTCAACCGGAAAAGTAAATCTTCCTCCAAAGAGGGACAGGGGGCTGAGGAGAAAAGCGAACCACAAGGAGGGTGCCCTGAGGCAGCCATGGGAACAGCCTGGGGCTGGGGCACCCGATGCCGTTTGTTCCTGACAAGTGTGTGGGCCTCGCTGTCTGGAGCCGCTCTTTCTGTCCCTGCCACTGTGTGGGCAGGAGCTATGTTTAGGGCTGTGCTTTGTGAAACAGCTTCCAGCCAGATGGCTCAGCAGTCCCTGGTGTCCCTGCAGAGATGCCACGGGGACAGGCTCCCCTGTGCTCCTCGCGGAGCTGAGGAGTTAGGCTCCCGGCCTCGTGTACCCGGGACTTGCGGTGCCCACCGGCTTGGCCACGGGGAAGGGGTCCGGAGGCCCAGCCTCTTGACGCCAGCCCTGCCGCTCGTCTCTGTTACTGGAACAAGTCACTTCAAATCCTCAGGCCCCGCTCCCTGTGTCAAATGAGGTTTGGATGAACCCAGGTTTGCTTGTTTGAAGGATGGAAATCTTTCCCTAGAGGGGGTGCCCGCTGGAGCCGGGAGTGGGGGTGACTAAGCCCACAAAGTCGGACCACAGAGGCGCTTTGGGAAGGAGGCCTCGCGAGGGCCGCTGCAACGGGCACCGCAGGCGCAGGCCGCCGGGCGCCAGAAGGGGCTGAGGGCTGGTGGCCGAGGGGGGCCCTCCCTGCGGCGGGGCTGAGCCTCGCGGGGCGGGATCGCGTGCCCGGCCGCCCCTGCCATCTCGGAGGCCGTGCGGGGCGCCCCTGACAGCGGGCGGACTCGGCGCCCGAGGGGGCGTGGGAGCCGCGCGGGGACGCCGGCAGGGCCCACGGAGCCGGGAAATGGAAGCAGCCAAAAGCCCAGGCGCGCCCGGTTATTCTTTGCCGCTGCCTCGTCGGGAGCGCCATTTGTCACGCGAGTCTCCACCTGTACTCGTTCCTGCCCCGAGGCCTCCGGCGCGGACCCTTCGGCTCCGGTCCCTGCCTCGGTCCAGAGCTGGCCGACGGGGCGGCGGGTTTCGCGAGGCGGGCGAGCGCGAAGCCCGAGGGGCGGTGCGGAGCGCGGGGTCAGCGCGGGGGGCAGACAAAGGCGGGGAACGCGAGCGAGGGGAAGACAAAGCGCAGAAAGGGGGTCGGCGGCGGCGCCGGGGCCCCGGAGGCGGCACCGGGCGCGGCGGAGCCAATGGGCGGGCGCGGGGCGGGGGCCGGCGGGGGCGGCGCCGCGGTGAGACGGCGGCGGCCGCGGCCGCTTGGGGACCACTGGCAGCGGCGGCAGCTCGCCCCCGCGCGCTCCTCGCACCGAGGCTTCCCCCGGAGACCGACCCCCGCCCCGCAGCCCAGGCCGGGGCCCGGTGAGACCCGCGGGCGGGCGGGGGGAGGGGCCGGCCTCCGGCTTGCGATTCGGGCGGCCCAGGTGGGGGCTGTGGGGGTAAGGGCCGCCGCCCACGGGGTCCCGACGCCGAGCGTCTCAGTCTGTCGCTCTCGCCCGGGGTCCCAAGGCCGGCGTCCGCCCTCCGAGCGGGGCCGAGGTCCCTGAGGCCGGGCCCGCCGGGGTCCTGGGTCTGGGGTCCGGTCCACGCAGGTTCGGAGAGGAGGAGCGGGCGGCGGCTCGGCGGGGCGGGGCGGGTGGCCCAGCCCGCGGGCGCTGTCCAGGGGCTGGGCCCGCCGAACGGAGCGAACCCGAGGCCCCGCACTGGGCAGCTTCGGGCCGGGGTCAGGCCGGGGCAGCCGCTTCTGGCTGTGGCCCCAGTGGGGCCGCCCTCCTCTGACCTCCCCTCGCGCCAGGCGGCGTCCGGGTCCGCGAAGCGTTCGGGCGGCTGCGCGGAGCCCCTCCCCCAGCCGCTGCCCGCTAACTCCGCTCCTCCCGGGACACATGGTTCCACTCAGGGACCCCTGCCCCCTGGGGAGCCGCGTGGGGCCCGAGCGGGCGAAGCGGGGGGTGGGTGAGGGGCGGAAGTGGCAAGACCCAGAGCAACAGGAAATGACTTAGGGAAAGTCCCAACCACAGCCCCCCAGCCCCCTGCCTGTAAACACCCCTACCCCCACCCTGCGGGCTGGGAAGGGTTTGTAGGGCCCTCCCAACCGACTTCCCCTTGCAGAACCCAGCGGGTGCCGCGTCTCCACTCGGGGCCTCCATCGCCTCCAACGAGCCATGTTCCAGGCCGCCGGAGCCGCCGCCCAGGCCACCCCCTCCCATGTAGGTGATCAGCTGGGGTGGGAGGGCACTCCATCCCTGCAGGTGTCTGGCCCGAGCGTGAAGGGACGAGGAGCGGCCTGTTTGCCGGCCTCCCTCCCCTTCCCCCTTGAGTGTCCCTGGGATCTGGGCTGGTGATGGTCTAGGGCCCTCCTCAACTGACCCTGCCCCACGGCCCTCTCCCTCAGGAAGCCAAGGGTGGCGGTTCCAGCAGCACGGTTCAGCGCTCCAAGGTAGGGCCCTGGGGCTGGGCTGTGTGGGGAGGAAGGGGTGGGCGCCGGTCAGGCCCCTGATGGAGTCTCTCCCGGAACAGTCCTTCAGCCTTCGGGCTCAGGTGAAGGAGACCTGCGCCTCCTGCCAGAAGACCGTGTACCCCATGGAGCGACTGGTGGCCGACAAGCTCATTTTCCACAGCTCTTGCTTCTGCTGCAAGCACTGTCACACCAAGCTCAGGTGCGCCCCCGCCCTGACCCCGCCCCAGCCCTCCTGACCTGGCCTGACCTGACCACAGTGTTCTGCTTCTGCAGCCTGGGCAGCTACGCAGCACTGCATGGGGAATTCTACTGCAAGCCCCACTTTCAGCAGCTGTTTAAGAGCAAAGGCAACTACGACGAAGGCTTCGGCCGGAAGCAGCACAAGGAGCTCTGGGCCCACAAGGAGGTGGACCCCGGCACCAAGACAGCCTGAGGCCCCTCTGGACTGCCCGGCCCCGGGTGAGGGTGGAAAGGGGATGAGGCCATTTTGCTCAGGCAGAGGGTTGCAGGGGCAGGGCTCTGCTCCCGGATTCCTTCTTCCTCAGCCGGTGGGGGTTCAGGAACCAGGATTGGGGTTTGCTCACCACCCTACTTCCTGTTTCTTTCAGCCTACCCCACCTCACCCCAGGGCCCCCCTGGGAGGCCCTCAAACTCAGCTTCCCTATCTAGGTGCCTTTTCTCCAGCAAGGAGTCAGCATGCCCCCTCAGGGTCCCAAGCTCCCTCACTGCCACCCCGGGGCCTATGTGGCCCCCACGTCTCCCCATCTACCTCTGCCCTTAGCCTGGTCCTGAGCCATGGAGACTGGAGGAAGGTGAGCCAGGGTGCCCCCTGCTGGGCCTCTCCAAATGTCCCCCAGGGCCCAGTGTAGGGGGAGGGGAACTGGAACAGCTCTGGGCCCCCTCCACCTGCAGAGGTGAGGCAGGGCGTGCCTGTCAGGGCCAGAACCATCCCACAGTGCGGAAGCAGTGGAAGGGAAAGCCTCCACCAGGCTGAGCCACGGGGACTGGGGGGTGCTGGCGGGGCCACATTCCCCCTCCTCCCACTTCTGCCGGTTTTGACTGTTGTAATCAATCCTATTTTAAACATGTTTCGACAGATTCTGACTCTTATGTGGCCGACTGGGGGGGCGCGGTTTGTGGCAGGAAGGACACACTACACAGAGGTGAAGGGGAACAGCATCAGGCCAACACATTCCTGGCCTTGACTGGTGGCGGGGGCTGGTGGTTAGGGTGATGGGTGTCAGGGATCTTATCAGGCAGCCCGAGAAAAGGGGGTGTTCTTCCCAACCAGGTCTCTCCATGTCAAACTCAGCGAGTTTGAGGACTGAACCCCACTGGGTCTCTCAAGCCTGTGCTGCCCAAGGTCGGGCCGTCAGCGGGTGATGGTGCTGAGTCCTTACCTAGATCTTCTTTGTCCTGGAAATCAGGAAGGGATGGGCGAACCAGCGGATCCAACAAGTTGTGTCCAAGGGCTTAGTCTTTGTGCCCTTTCCCCAGCAAGGAGTCAGAGTGCCCCTTCAGGGTGTCTCTCCCACTTTTCCAGCTCCAGGGAATGGGGCAGTCATGGTCACCATCCCAAGCAGTCAGAGAAATGGCTCTTCTTCTCTTGGGGACAAGATTACAGTGACACAAACAAGAACCTAAGACCCCACCCCTCAGGAGAGTACAGACAAGAAGTCGGGACTGTCCTGCCCCAGACCCAACTGTCCTGGTTTCCCCCAGCTGACTGGACTGTGTAAATTGGCAGAAGAGGGCAGACTCCTAGGGGATTACCTGACCCTAACCCTGTACAAGTCCTTAAGTTCCTAAGTGACCTCGTGCCCACAGAACAGGGTAGGAAGCAGGGCCTCAAACTCCAGTGGTAGATAGGCCACTGTGTTGTGTTGCCCTGGAAGTGACAGAGCCAACAGGAAGCAGAGTTGGCACTCTGAGCCTGGGTCCTCAGAGCATGAGGGGAATGCAGAGTGCCTCACTCAGGGCAGCTCTAACTTGTGCACCAGAGGCCTCAGCTGGGGACGAGGTTGGTCTTCCTCTACCCAGAGCTAAGCAACAGCATCAGGTCACCCAAGAAGAGCCAGCAGAGGTGGCTTGTGGCAGTACCTGCCTCACAAGGATGTGACTTCGGCCGGCAAGGACATCCCGGGGCTGGGAGGACTAGTGGGTCCCACAGAGGTCCTGGGAACTGAGCCACGGTGAAGCTCAAGTCGGGTGAGCTGACAGTGTCACCTCAGGAAGTCAGCTGTGGTAGGACCACCCTCAGTAAAGCGCTGAGGAGTTGGGGAGGAAGAGAGGGCACCACCTCTGAGCTAGCAGTGCCCAGGACCCCTCTGGGAATCATTTTAAGTTCTCTGCTGAGGGATGCAAGCTTGTTGACAGGCAGCATAACCTGGCTTTTCCCAGGTAAACACTTATTGCCTCCACCCCACAACCAAAAGCACTGCCACAGGACCCCTTGGGTATAAATGATCCCTTTTATTGTAAGTAATGCACGACACTGGCCTGGCTTTGCACTGCAAGCCCTCGGTCAAGATATAGTCAAATAACTATGGCTGCAGGTTCTTCTGCACGTTCCACAATTCAGACTCACAGAGCTGGGGTGGGCAGGAGGGCAGTGGAGAGTGGACTGTCCCCAGCCCTGGCCTCTCCATGTTGGGTTGGCCAAGGCCGAAATACCCCACGGAATGATAAGCAAATGGTGGCATGGCCCTTCCCACAGCCAGCCTGGGGCTGCTAGGAGATGGCCCTTCAGATCCTTTGGGCCAGGCCATCCTAGGCCCCACAACTTTTCATCTGGATTATTTAATAAAAAAAAAAAAAAAAACAATAAATTAAAATTAAGCAACAGCTTGGTCCTGAGGATGCTGAGCCAGCATGTCCACAGTTTTTGGCACAAAAAAAAAAAAAAATAAGGGTCTTGTTTTTTTGGAGTGTAGGATTTGTTGGCTTGTTGGCAAATTCATTTTTAAGAACACATTCCCTGTGAGGTAAGACCCCGGGGGTGGGGCTCTGTGAGAGCCTGAACCTGGGACACAGAGTCGTCTCATCTGGCACCGGCACCACTTTCCTGTTGGGGTCGGGGACTGGGGATTGGGGTGTGGGCCCAAGAAGAATGCTACAGCCATCAGGACAGGGTTGTGGAGAGGCCGAGCTGCCAATCAGCAGCTTTGGTCGAGACAAGGGGCCGGTCCCCTCCCTGGGCAAGAGCCGAGGTGGAGGCAGGAGCATACACTCACTGTCTTCAGAGGGCCTGGCTGGGGTGCCTGATGGAGGCCCTTGGGGGCGAGGATGGAAACAGAGGCCCAGGCCCAACTGGCACCGTGCAACACACATTCCTGCAAAACCAGCTGCTTTCGTTTGCTCTTCTCTCTCTTGAGGCGTCCATCACCTGTAACAGTCTAGAATTGATATATATAAAAACCATCAAATATGATCTGAGATATAAATTAACAAGTACAAGGCCTCACATTACATGATGTGAAAAGGCTAAAAACAGCGATAGAAACTACATTCATAAAAGTGCATCGTCAACATACAACGAAGGCTTTGGCTTGTTCTGGTGCCCGTGGGGGAGTGGGCATGGCTGGCAATGAGCTGCCTGGCACGAATCCCCAGCTCCTTGGAGACACCCATCCCTGGGCACTGGCTTTTTTTTTTTTTCTCTTTTAACAACAACTCCCAAGGAAACTGGGTGTTGAGAGGGAGGAGCTCTAGCAATAGGCACATTTTGGAGGGGAGGGGCCGGAAGAAAGGACCAGCACCCAGGCTGAGGTAAGTAAGGCCGACTCTAAGCTGCTTGAAGATACTGGCTCCCCGAGCCCTGCTGCCATTCCACCCCCAGGGGAGCGAGAAGGGAAAGAAGCTGAGACCTCGTGGGGATGGGCGAGGCTGGCCATGGAGGAACAGAGCTGGAGGTTCCCGACACAGGTGGTGGCATCACACAGGCTCTCCCTTCCACCAGGCAGAGCTCTGGCCTAGCAGGTCACAACCCGCAGACAGCCTGATACAACTCCCCGGCTCTGCGGGACGCTCCACTCAGGGTAGCCAGCCGGCTCAGATGCCCTCACCGTATTGTCTGTCGTCTTCTCTGCTCCAGTGGGGGAACAGGTGCCAGCCAGGAGCACAAGGCCTGGGGCCATGACCCTCAGCTCTTTCCAATCTGGCCCAAGGCCCCAGCCCACAGCAGGGGTACTCAGAGCCCAGAGGGCACACGAAGTTGCCAGTTTAGAAACTGGGTACAGCATAAGAGTGACTCCAACTTGTAAAACACAGACAATTGCATTGACAGAACTGGGTCTCCCCTCAATGGGGGCAGTTCCACATCTTAGGCCCCTGCTTGAGGGTGTGTGGTCGGGGGGCAGGGTCATGGGGGCAGGCAGGACAGGCTCCTCCTTCCCTGAATAAGGCAGCATAACAGTTGCTTCATTCATCTTTGGTAAAGGACAGGGGCTGGCAAAGCTGGCCTGGGGCTCCAGGGAGAGGGCCGCCCAGGCCTCTGCTCTCCATTGGCTGTGGGGTGCTGGGCTTTACCTCAGGCTTGGGTGGGCTCATCAGCCCAGAGATGCCCTGGTGGTCTCCAGACATGGGGAGGAGAAACAAAGTAACACTCTGAATGAAAGTAACACTATTCAGACCCTTGTGTCCATCCTGTGCCCCAGACTCTCTGGGGTCTGGTGCTGATGGCCATGTCAAGACACAGCCCCCAGGGTGGGGCCCTGGGTGCTTCTCACACTGTTCCAGCTCCTTCCCCTCCAGGCTGAGCTGAGGACGCTGGTGCTTCGGGTCTGGCAGGCTGGGGGCTCCCAGTCCATGAGGCTGCAGCCGCCCTCCCTGGCCCCGGGCCCCAGCAGCAAAAGGGCACAGACAACGCTGGCCGGACTCAGCTCCGTGGTCCATGGCCCAACTTTGCTGAGCCCCTCAGCAGCCTCTCGCCCATGCAGAAGGGGCGGCCGGCAACAGTGTGGCCTTGAGAGCTCAGTACACAAGCTGTGCAAAGTGGTGTGTGAGCAGCTCCTCGGCCGAAGGTCTCTGGCGGGCCTCCACAAAAATGCGCCTCAGGAAGTCCCGGCCGTGTTCAGAGATGTGGGAGGGCAGCTGAGGGTTGGTGGGCTGGGTGGCGATCTTGAAAATGGCGGCCATAGCTTCATACTCTGCCCAAGGTGGTTTCTCTGTCAGCATCTCCACCACCGTGCAGCCCAGGCTCCTGGAGAGAGAGAGAACACCCGCATCACCCCACAGCCAGCCCCAAGCTCCCAGCCACCCCGCACACAGTTGTGAAAGGAGGTGCCTTTCTCGAAACACACTGAGGCAGGATGGGCCAGGCTGGGGGTGAACACCCCTGAAGAGGGCCCCCACAGCCAGAAGAGGTTTCACAGCCCCGTTAACTTCTTCCACATGGGCTTCATCAACCTGCACCCACCCGGCTGCTTCCTGATATCGGGGGAACCACTGAGCATGTGCAGAAAGTGCTCTGAAATAATGGTACTGGTTTCCTACTGCTGCTCTAACAGTGACCATGAACCCAGTGGCATAAAAAAGCAGCCTAAGTGCGTTACTGCTGTGGAGGTCAGACGTCTAAGGGCAGTCTCACTGGACTGAAGTCGGTGTGCCACTCGGGACAGTTCCTTGTGGAGGCTCTCAGGCGAAAGCCCGTCTCCTGGCCTCTTCCCACTCTTACAGGCTGCCTGCGTTCTCGGCTCATGGCTCCTTTCTTGTCTCACTCCAACCTCTTGTTTCCTTTGTCACACCTCTTACTACTCACTCTAATCTCCTGCCTTGCTTTTATAAGGACCTTTGTGAGTATACTGGGCCCATCTGGATAATCCAGGATCATCTCCCCATTTCAAAAATTCTTAAAAATCATGTCTGCAAAGGCCCTACTGTCACATTAGGTAACATTTACTCATCCCTTTGGGATTAGGATATGGACATCTTCAGGGACCACTATTCTGCCCCCCCCCCCCCACAGTAACATTCTAAGAGGAAGTGATGCTCTCATAACTTTCAGGCCCTTTCAGAGGATGGACGCAAAATTAGAGCAGCTGCAGGCCTTCTGAGCACTAGGAGAGGGAGCTGAAGCCTACTACTACTGCTTAGAGATCCATCCAGGCCTTCAGATGGGATCTGAGTTCTTTCAAGCATTTAGCAAACACCCCAGGGATGCTTTCCATGGCCTAAGCTCTCAGCAAGAATAGTTGCTGTTCAGAGTGAAAACACAACACATCTGCTGTGTGTACTGCTGCAGACACTACCACCCCTGCCCACATGGAGCCTGCAACCTGGCCTCGCTGGCCAGAGGCCAATCCTCACTCTTGCCACACTGCAGAGCCCTCAGCCCCATTTCTAAACTGGAGCCACTATAGCCCAGACCAGGAGACGGGGGTCCCAGCACGTCCCCAGCACACTCACCACACGTCTGCCTTCCTTCCATAGCCCTCACCGCTGATCACCTCGGGGCTCATCCAGTAGGGAGTGCCAGTGACTGAGCGCATGCCCGTGCCAGACATGCAAATGGTTTGCAGGCGCTTGCTGGCCCCAAAGTCCCCCAGCTTCACATTTCCAGCAGAGTCTCGCAGGATGTTGGCTCCTAAGGCATGAAAGGGCAGAGGCTGCAGCCCTGGACCCCTGGCACTTGCCACCATCCTCCTTCTGTCCCTCCCTCCCAGTCCAAAGGGCTGCTGGGTAGGATGGGGGCCTCGTGAGCTGGAACTGAACCACACAGAGCTAACAGGCTAGTGGTGGGAGGCATCTACAGCAGCGAACAGTCATCACCATAGCTAGCATCTGCAGAGCCCTTCGCTGTGTTTTTCCAAATCACTGAACTGATCTTTACACCAGTCCCCCAAGGAAGCCATTAGGATTTCACGTTTCAGAAAGTTCACAACAACCAGGTGGAGAGTCCCCGAGTTCCTAGGTCATGGCGAGCCCACAGCCTGCCCCGCTCACCCTTGATGTCCCGGTGAACAATCATGTTGCTGTGCAAGTAGGACATGCCTTCCAGTATCTGCCGGGTGTACTTCCGGGTCACGCTCTCTGTCAGAGCACCGTAGGCCTTCAGCTGGTCTTTCACTGAACCCTAAAGTCACAGGAGTCAGAGCGGTCACTGCAGGAAGGCGGAGGGAAGAGGGCAAGGCTATTTCCAGCCCCCAGTGTTCAGCAAGGGAGTGAGGTCCAGTCCCCATTAATGCAGGCCAGGCACCATGCTAAGGGCCGTCAGGCAGCTTGGAGAAAAGTATGAGACAGCCCTTCCCTCATGCCAGGGTGACCCAAACTCAGAAGGGAGGTCTGTGTGCTCCAGGTAAAGGCAGTACCTACTGGATAGTGCAGCTGCCCTGTAAGCCTCAGGTCAGGGGAGCCTGGGACAATTCTCACCCCACAGCATCACTGCAGCCAGATGCAGGGCCTGCCGACTCCATGTCCTGCTCCTGCCTCGCTTTTCCCCTGGAGCCTCTGGAGTCTCAGGTAACCAGACTCATGTCAAAGGGACCCCTCCTCCACAGCCTCAGCCCCACGACAGTCCCTCTCTTGCATGTCCACCTGCGTCACAGGGCACATACCCCTGGCATGTACTCCATGAAGATGGTCAGAGTCTTCTCGGCGCGGTCCCGCAGGCAGCCATAGTACTGCACTATGCGCTCATGCTGCAAATTCTTCAGCAACTGGATCTCGCATTCCAGAGCACTCACCTCCTGGGAAGGGGCCCAGTGGTCACCGAGGCTTGCGGGCCTCAGTTCTACCTGCCTGGCATCAGCTCAGCTTGCCCTAGTCAGTGGCCTCAGAGGAGCCCATGTGCTGTGGTAACTTCAGCTGGAGAAAACAGGGAATGTCTCAACTGTCTGGCCCTTGCCCACAATGCTGGCTAAGCTGTGGGATGGGGCATTCCCATGCTGGAAGACAGCAGACGGTGGGGTGGGAGATGGGTTTGTTGGCTCAGCTAAGGAGTTCAGATAACTGCTGAATTTGTCCACTCAAACTGGAGTGAAAGCCACAGCCAAAGCTAAGCTCGAAAGACAGGCTCCTTCCTGGCTCGGGGGCTGGGAGAGCGGCATCTGTCTGCTGAGGTGGGGGGTTGGGGGGCAGGAGCTGCTTGTTGTGGCACTGGCCATCCAAACCAGTCTGGGCGGCTAGGCACTTTGACACCAACTAATCTCTTCCTAGGACTGGGGTAGATGGTAAAGGAGCTTGGGAGGAAGAATGATGGGAGAAACAACCTGTAGCATCTCAAGCAATTAGTCTGTGCAACAAGACAGGCATTTTGCTGAGAAGGAGGAACTGGAAGTCAGATCGTAGGGAAGGCAGTACCTTGCTTGTCTCAGGACTGTCTGGGTCAAACTGCACCTGCTTGGAAGCAAGTTCTCGTCCTGTGTCCACGTCATAGCACAAATAGACCCTGCCAAAGGCACCCTGGCCTAGGAGCTTCCCCCGGCGCCAATTAACAGGGGCACTGGGAGCTACAGGAGAACAGGAGGAAAGAGCATTAGAGTTCATGCACTTATTTCCCGATATCCCACCTCATTGTCCGAAGGCCTGAGCTGCCCCTCACCAGGCGTCATCACACCTCAGCACAGGATCTCCACCCTCACCTGGAACAGGCTCAGGGCCCTGGCCAATCAGACCTCAAGGCCCACGCCCTGATAAGCAGAGGACTGGCTAAAATCACAGTTAAATGCTTATCTGAACTGATCAAACACCTTTATACTTCCAAGGCCCCCAGACAGCTCATTATGTCAGGGATTAAGGAGACTGCTCTTCATTTAAACATGGAGAAACTAAAGGCCAGAGAGGAGTGGCTCATCACACAACAGTGGAGTGAGGACCAAGGTCCAAGGGATCTGCTGCCCCCTCAGGCTCTTCCCCTGGGTACGAATGGGCCAGGGTAGGCACCCACCAAGCCCGACAGCCCAGGGGACTCGCTGGCCCCCGGCCCTGAGCATCCCCCAGGCAGGCCCTCCCCAGCCAGGCCCACTCCTCACACTTGGTGGGCACACTCCTCTCCTGCACAGAGAGGGCGTTCTCGCTGTCGGCGCTCCGCAGGCGCCCTCGGGGGTCCAGGTACTGCACTGCCAGGCCCATGTTCTCGCCGTTTGTGCTCAGGGAGCGGCTAGAGGGCACCAGGGTGAACAGGTTGCCTTGATGACGCCGTATTCGGGGAAATGTTCTTCTGCCTGAAGGGGTGCAGGGGCCAGAGTAGAGCAAGTCAGCGCCCTGACTGCAAGGCCAAATGTGCCAACCAGGTCATAACACCAGCTCCAGTCCATCTTCTCTTCCCTCCCACCCAACTCTGGCCAGAATGGCTGATGTCTCAAGCATCCTGAGGATCAGGACAAAAGCAGGAATCAGCAAGCAGCCAGGGGGTTTAGGGAAAGCCAGCCAAAGGGAAAGTGCAGGGCTGGCCCTCATGCCCCACAACACCCGTGGGGCCAATCCATGGCTGCTCTGTTTTCCTTGGCATCTTAATCCTACACCTCTGTGGAAGCTCCATTCCGTTTGCTGCCTGAGGCAGAAGAGGGCAGTGGAGAGTCGATGCCTGGAGCACACCATGCCCTCAGACAAAGGACTGATTTCCTGGAGGCAGTATCCATCTACAATACCATCCTCCTCTTTTAAAAAACCCTGACTCTACTGCGTCAAACCTGCATGCAGTTCCTCAGGAATAAAGGAAACGTGGGGCCTGGACTACCTGGGCCGCCCCGTTCCAGTAGCTCCTCCTGGCAGAGCGCTCACCAGCCCTCCTGAGGTGGCCGGCAGGGGGCAGCACAGAGGCACACTCACCGTCACTGTAGTCCTTGTGGTGCACGGACACGTGGTAGCGCCGGGGGTAGGTTCCACCTTTGACCCCTTTGTCATAGAGCTGAGTTTCCCGATCTGAGGAAAGACGGGGTCACTGGCTTCTCGACAGGCCCAGGTGAGCCTCCAGGTCACCTGAGACCTCACAGCAGCAGGACCCAGAAGATTAAATACAACCCTGGCTTCTCTTCCCCCCTGAGCCGTCCAGGGCAGATTGCCGGCAGCCCCGCCTGGACACCTTGCAGTGCTTACCCAGGCTCTGGAGAACTCACCCGAGAATTCCTGTCTGTTGTCTGGGAAGCTCTGGGCTCGGGACATTCGTGATTTCCGGAAGGATGGGCTAGAAAAACAAAATGAATCACACAGCAGACTTCAGGGTCCCTCCAAAGCAGCTCACCAGGTCAGAGGGCAGGATACCCAGACACACTGCTTTTTCTGACTCCTTCCCACACATGTCGTTATATGGTAGGAAGCAGAGTTCAAGAGAAGCAGACCTTTTCTAAGCTTCCTACTTTCTCTTCACTAGTCTGAGGCCCACAGCTGACAGGACCCTGCATAATGAGGCCCTCCAGTGCTCCCAAACCTCCACGGTGGGGCAGAGTGCTGGATCTTACCCTTTCCTCCCACTCTGGGAACAGAAGAACTGCGAACGATCCCTTGCTCAGGGCAGTCACAAAAACAGTAATAACATCCAGGATCTTCCTTTCAGACTAATCACCACTATCCCCTCTTAGAGATATGGAAAACTGAGGAACAGAGAGGTTAATGGACTTGTCCAAAGCTATTCGACTAATATTTGGTGGGGTTGGGTCTATATGGCTCCAGGTCCCATGAAGGGAAGATGAAAGCTCTGACCTTCGGTTATGCTGGGCCCCAAGGAAGTAAGTCCAGGTCACTGACTCCTAAGGAGATGAAAACAAACCACTGGAGGGCCAGAGGAAAAACTCAAGAATCAAGAGTCGTCTTTACAAGCATCCACCTGAGTGGTTCTCTTCCCTCATGTGTGAGTGCCTTTGGAGAAGACCAGAACTCAGAAACTCTCAAGGCAGAGGTACAGGAACTGTCCTCTACTTCCCACCTACCAGACTTTCTGTGGTCCTGCCCCACACCTCCCGCCCCCACCAGCGTGGCCACAAAACTCAGAAGAGAGTTCAAAGCCACAGTCAGTCCCTGTCCTGGAAGAGCTCTCAGTTCGCAGTGACAACTCTGGCACTTTTACCAGTGCCTTCTTGCTCTTCTGCCTGGAAAGCCTAAAATAAGGCTGCAAATTGGATGCCAACAGCAACTGTGACTGTGTTCTATGACGCCTGGAAGCAGACCACACTCACCAGAGCACAGGTCTGTTAGAAGAGACACAGTACAGATCTGGCCAGGGTCACAAGGTGATTACCCGTGTGAGCAATTAATCAGTTCCACAAAGAGAAGAAAATCCTCCAAACTGTTCGGTAGCCTCTGACCACAGCCCTAAGCCAAGCCAGACATGGTCAAAATGTGTTCCTGGGCATGATGAGGTCAAGGAGAGAGACTGGCTGGATCAATGCCAAAGCCATCTCTAAACACCCCTGCTGACTGACGAACCAGCTCCACAGACTATGGGGTGTGTAAAGGACAGCGCTTGTTCCCTCCCAAAGTGTAATAAGAACACAGCTGGTGCGTAAGATTACACATCAAGTGGGCAGTGTGGTAAGCTAGGCAGTCTGGATTATTTTGTTTTCAGGTTTTTATACCCCAGTTTCTTATTCCACCAGAAACACTTGGAGAAAAGAAAAAATAAAAGTAAACCTACAGGTGATAATTCAATTTTGTCCCCAAAACACTGAAGGTCCACTGCTTCTTAGTCCAGACCTCAGCAATGAGGCCAGGTGTACAATGAGGCCAAGGGCAGCATGTATTATGTGGGAAGTCTAAACACATAAAAAGTGCTGGAAACAATGGAGCAAGCATTTATCCATGTGAGCTGCTACTATGACCTATTACATCCATCTAATTACACAAACGGAACACTCTCCTTGGAAAATTAAGGAGAGGGCTCGGAACGCTAGTGAGAGGTTTCTCTCCAAAAGCATGAGGTTCTAGCCATGGGCCTGCAGACCAGTGTCTAGTTCAGGGACACACACACTAGCTATCTCTATTTCCTCAGCTCATCAGTTCCAAAAATGCCTGTGCACCAACTCCCGAACCAGCCACAGTCCCATACCTGTCTGCTGACCTGTCCAAGGACTGGCAGCTTCCTGACAAGGAGTTTTCAGCACTGCTCAGAGGATCCAGCATCTGCAAGGCAAGGCATACAGTAAAGCCCCAGCCCCAGCCCAAGCCAGGTACCCAGCCAAGACCAGCAAAAGGTCCTTTTTTTTTCCCCAAAATATGAAAGTGCCCTTTCTCTGCCTGGGCAGTGGGAAGAATGGTTAGGCAGGTACCGTTCTCCCCCACAGTCTGAAAGGCAAGTTTCCATGAGTGAGAAAAATGCCTGGCTGGCATCCCAAGGCGCTCTGCCAGGAGAGCAAAGCAGAGACGCTGCTTCTCTGGTTGGCATTTTCTTGGCTTGTGAAAGCTGAAGCCTGGGGCTGGAGACGGTACTACCCTGCAGAGGCTTCCAGTGTGTGTGGGCAGGACGGTGATGCTTCTGTTTACACTCCATAATTTATAATTTACAAAGACAAGGAGTGTCCTCGTTTCACAGATGAGCCACTGCAGGTCTGGAAAGGGGAGGAGTATTGTCTGAAGTCATGAAACAAGTCAGTGCACAACTGACACAGAATACAAGTTTCCCAGTTCCTGGTTCTCAGGCAGGGCCAACAGGTAGCTATGTGAGTTGAAATGTTTCTCTGGCCCTTGGTCAAATGCAGTAACAAAAAGCCTTCAGATTAGCCTTTTCTCCAACTGATCTCCCTTCATTTTGCCTGGGGGTGGGGGGCAGTGAAGGGGTGTGTTCACTGTCAGAGAATTCATTATCTGAGATCCAAAGTCAAGCATTACATAGGGAAGCAGAGTATCAGAACTATGAAAATCCATGAACAACTTTTATAAAATTGGTTTCCAAGTCAAATGATCTCTTCCCATTTAATGCTGGAGACCATCTCACCTATAGTTTCACCCTTATATTGTCATATGTGATTTTTTTTAAACTGCCAATCAAGGCAAATTAATTGCAAAGTAAAATCCCCCAAATCTTGCTAAGGAGATAGGATTTCCCCAAGTGGATAAAACCAACACGGGAAAGAATTGCTCCCAATCCAGAAAGTACATATTTGGCAAAGTTAGATCAGATAACAGAAGAGAAAATGAGCAAGAATAACAACATGACAGGTGTGATGAAGGAGGAAGAATACCAAAGGTTCAAGAGAGGCCATTGGAAAACACAGTGAACCCCGTGAAGGTTTCTGTTTTTTCCTGTTTTTTTTTTTTAAAAAGGACCCTCTTTTAGGGACTTGCCCTGGTGGTCCCGTAGTTGAGACTCCGTGCTTTCGCTGCAGGGGGCATGGGTTCGATCTCCAATGGAACTATTATCCCATATGCTGCTCGGCCAAAAAAAACCACCCTCTTTATGACAGTGCTGCAGAAGTCAAAGGGAAGAAAGTTATGTTGCATTAGCAAAATTCTGTTATAAAAATCAAGCCAAAAAAAACCACCTAGCCTGAACCATGCTTTGTTCATTCTGAAAATTAGCAAATAGATGCAGCCATTACTCAAATCTGATTAAAGAAAATATAAAACAAACTTATCTTAGTTCCACTTTTCAAGCAAGTCCCAGTTGGATATTCTTTCACTACATACCATGCTGTTTTGGTCTCTGTTGAGTAGATTTATCTTGAATGGCCCATTACCAGCAGCAATTTTCCACTAAAGACGCGGGCATTGAGGAAGGACCTAGTCATTGCCCTGCTGCCACCTTCCATGGCCTCTTCCTAAAGGCCTCTCCTCACTACAAGTTTAATACTCCCATGCCTTCCAGGGCCATGAAGGTAATGGAAAGAAGTAAAAGGACCAGGATATAGGACCATAGGGAAGGACAGAGAGCAAAGGCAGTCAAACTCATTAACAACCTCTGAGGCTTTACACCCAAGTTACCCCTCGTACAGCTGATGTCCGGAAGCACTCTGGTTAGAGAAAAAGGAAAGGATGGTCAGTAAGATAACCAAGAGGGGACTCTGCAGATAAAAGTACTCTAGGTCACTGTTCTAAACATCAATTTATCTGGAAGGCAGGACTACAGAAGAGAGCAGAAGCAATGTAAAACTGCTTCTCATAGCCTGTATAAGTGAAACAATGCTGGAAAAGTCATAAGAATCAGTTTTAGGAAAAGTAAGAATCGGTTTTTTTGGTAAACCCCCCATGTGTTGGTGCTGGCCTTCTACTGGATGCTTTTACCTTTAAGACACTTCCCCTTTCAAGAGCAAATTCCAAAAGTTTAGAAGACGTATCTTTTTCTTTGCAATCAAAGCAAGCTCAATGAAAAAAACTTCAGAATGAAGCCAGAGATCTCATTCTTGCTGAGTTCACTAAGCCAAAATGACATTTTCATCAAGTGAGCCACAAGTTTAAAAAGCTAGCCATCAAAATGGGTAAGATACTGTGGTGAACACACCCTAAGATGACCCCCCAACTCCCCGCCCCCCAGTGAGTCACAATCTTTCATAACTCCCTCACCTGAGTATAGGTAGAACTTGTAATTCACTTCTAGTCGATAGACCATGGCAAAGTGGATAGGATATTCATTCCCCTAATAGTGTTATACTACGTGAGACTCCATCTTTGCAGACTGGAGCAAGAGACTCTCCTGGTAGCCTGGAAGTGAGAGGGCCACACCGCAGGGAACTGCAGGTGGCTTCCAAGAGCTTAGAGGGGTCCCTGGCTGACAGCCAGCAAGAAAATAGGGGCTACAATGCTACAACCACAAGACTCTGACCAACAACCATGTGGACCTAGAACAGAACCCCAAGCTTCAGGAAGAAATAGAGTCTGGCTGACATTTGATTGCAGCTTTGTGCGACCCTGAGCAGAGAACCCAACGAAGTCATGCCTGGATCTTAGACCCCAGGAAACGATAAAATAATAAATGTCTGCTGTTTGTGCTGCTAAGCCTGTGGTTGTTTTATATAGCAACAGATAACTAATATAGTTGTCTAATATCATAAAAGTTCACCCAAAGTAGCCAGTCCTACTTTGGACTGGTATACTCTCTACCTTTCATAAAGCAATAGCAAAACTAAAAGCTGGTTGATGGAAAAGAAAAAAAAAAAAATCTGTGTGTTTAGGATTGGTCATATGTTAAAACTCTGCTGCAAGGACAGGTGGTTGTAAGGAAGTACACAAAGAGCAGAGTGGTGTTCTGCAGTTTGTGTGAGACCAGTGAGAGGACCACAGAAGAGGGAAAAGCTGTCAAACGCATGTCTAGCACCGAGGAGGCGAGGTAGCTTAGATCCTGTCTCTGGTGAAAGTGAAGTTGCTCAGTCATATCCGACTCTTTGCGACCCCATGGACTATACAGTCCATGGGATTTTCCAGGCCAGAATACTGGAGTGGGTAGCCGTTCCCTTCTCCAGGGGATCTTCTCAACCCAGGGATCAAACCCAGGTCTCCCACATTTCAAGTGGATTCTTTACCAGTTGAGCCACAAGGGAAGCCCAAGAATACTGGAGTGGGTAGCCTATCCCTTCTTCAGTGGATCTTCCTGATCCAGGAATCGAACTGGGGTCTCCTGCATTGCAGGCGAATTCTTCACCAACTGAGCTATCAGGGAAGCCCTGTCTTTGGTAGGAACTGATATTTGGCCCTTAGAAAGGAAATATCCATACCTGGGCAGGCCTGGTTTACAAAAGAGCTACTGGATGGGACTCAAGTCCCTCACTTGCACACCATGCCCACTGAGGAATCCCCATTATAACCTTGGTCTGACACCTCCCAAGACACACACCCTCTACATATAACCCAGACTGTACTCACGCACTGCTCGCTGGTCTCCGGTATGAACTCGCCCTCGCTGTTGATGCTGGTGTAGGAGCCCTGCCGGGCGATGCGCTGCTGCCGCTCGGGCACATAGCCAGGGGGAGGCGAGCTTCGGCCAGGGTTCTGGGAGCCTAGAGCACAGAAACAAGATCCTTGACGGGGACAGCCCACGACCCACAGCCTGACAGGAGCAGACACAAAGCCAGCTTGGATCCAGCATCTGCTTGGTGGTGGAGAGCCCATTTGGCTCTCTGAACATCCTGGAAGAGAGGGCGGGCCTCCTAGCAAAGTGCTGGGGTTGAGGGAAACTTCCTGAACCAGGCAGCTTCTCCCCCTAATCCAAGGACCCCAAGAAGGAAGAAAACTCCTTAAGAGAAAAGCCAAAGAATGGTGGTAGGCTTGCTCTTTGAAAGACAGTCTTTGAGGAGTTTAAAACTACTATCTTCAACGTCCTTCAAACAAATGATTCCTTCATTCTTCTACACGAAGTCACTGATTCAGAATATATGGATCATTCAGTTTGTAGGGAAGATATTTTAATGAATTCGCCACCAAGAGGAGCTGGTATTCCAATCTCTTGTTGGAGGCATCAACTCACACTCTCCCCAAGAACCACCTGGATTAGTTATCGCAGGTGGGAAGCACCTGAGACTCTTGGTAGCCTGGCTTCCCCACTTGACTCTTTAAAGCAGAGGCTAGAAACCTCTGAAAACATGTGTAGAATTATGCTGGATTTCCACTTTCAACACCTCACTCACAGCTACAAATTCTGAAATAAGGCGGTGCCTAAACCATGCCTTTCAAATAATCTCAAATAACCCATGGAAGAAAGAGTCTGCTCAAGCTTTCTAAGCCCTGGCAGAAATTGATGCTGCTCAGAGTAGAAATTTAGAGATACTGTGCCATCAACTAACAGAGCAAAGAAATCAGTCATTTTCTTTTTTCTTTTGTTCTGGTCACCCGCATGTGGGATCTTCGTTTCCTGAGGAGGGATCAAACCCACACAACCTGTAGTGAATGCACAGTCTTAACCACTAGACCACCAGGAAAGTCCTCCTTTTCTTTTTTATGCTCTCTTACTTTGCCTTTAATTCTCACAACACTCCTACAGTGAAGGTGCACTATGTTCATCCACTGTGTGCAGAAGGGGAAGCCAAGGCTCAAAGTCATATAGTGACTCAACGGTGGTGCTGCAGCCAGCAAACAGCCTTTGTGACTCCCAGTACAGTTTGGGCAAGGCCATTTTGAGACCATAATTTATTTCCAGAAAGGGTAGGCATACCGTTCAACACAGAGATGGAAAGCAAAACTTCTCCTCAAGCTGGCCAGGCCATACATTCCCCAGAAGCAATCCAAACAGAGGAGCTGGGGGGATTCCACCCACGGGGGAATGCGGCTGCCTTTCTGCAAGGAGCAGGAGCAAGGCTAATATGGGGATTCCTCGACAGCACAAGAGAAACACGGGGCCACATTTTACGTCACTCAGATTCCAAGCTGTTCTGTCCAGGGTCACTTGTAAGCTGGATGCAAGATGCCAACGGAGGGCTCAAAGGCAATAACAAGATGGAGGTAAGAGGAAATCAAATGGGAATAAGAAAGCTACTCCATTTTTCAGAGGGTCAGATGGCAAAGATCCAGGCAGCTGGCCATTTCCCTCCCCACTGTACCATAAAATTCCAATGTAACCATGGAAAAAAGATGGCTTTCTTAAGCCTTACCATGCCCCAAAGCACAGTTCACATTTTTAACACTTGGCTTACAAACATTAGCCAAGTGCCTGCTTCCCACTTCCGGCCTTGGATAACATTCTAGTAGCCCACAACTCCTGTGGAAATCCAATCCCTATGTTGGCAACAATTTGTCAGCAGCAGAAGCAACCTCAAGAGGTAAGCAAGGTATAGTGAGAAAAGCCTAAGCTTGAAAATCAGATGTGCAGAGGTTCACAGCAGGCTTTGTCACTCATTAGCTGAATGATTTAAACTCTCACCTAAATTTCCTCACTTATGAAAATGGGAAGAACTCTACCTTATTGCCTTTTTTGGAAATTATAAATGAAATGTGGCAGCACCGATACACACCCACATGCTAGAGTCCCATTTGCTTCCTTCATTGTGTGGAGGAGGCAACGGGTTAGACTCACGACACATGCTGCCATTCCAGCGGGCCTTCCTGTGCCTCAGAAGTTCATCAGCTGCGGCTGCTCCGTTGCGTCAGTCGTGTCCGATGCTGTGCGACCCCACAGACGGCAGCCCATCAGGCTTCCCCGTCCCTGGGATCCTCCAGGCAAGAACACTGGAGTGGGTTGCCACTTCCTTCTCCAATGCACAAAAGTGAAAAGTGAAAGGGAAGTCACTCAGTCATGTCCGACTCTTAGCGATCCCATGGGCTGCAGCCCACAAGGCTCCTCCGGCGATGCGATTTTCCAGGCAAGAGTACTGCAGTGGGGTGCCATTGCCTTCTCCGAGTTAGTCAGCTATAAGCTATTAATTCTAAGACCTCCTTTAGGTTCAGCCAGTTGAGGCACTTGTGTAGATTTAGATGGCTTCCTGAAATTCCTGCTGTTTCTGGGCACAGTCCCAGAAGCCTTGGTTTTTCTGCTGTAGCATCAGCAAAGGCCTCACCTGTGGTTCCCAGTTTTCCTGATGTCAAGACACAGGTGCAGGGACCCCCATGTAAGTGGTGTGTGGACAGATAAGAGGGGCCATGATTCTGGATCTGGTGGTTTCCTCATTATAGGAGGAAGAGGAGCTCTGTAGCATTTTTAGACTTATTGAGTCTGTTTCTCACTCTTTGTGATTTTATAAGACAGAATGTGCTTTAAATGTCTTCTTCCTGAAACTAGTCAGAGTGAATTCTGTTCTGTGCAACTCAACCCTGACCAATATATTCTGGAGTGAAAAGGTATTACATATTTGACCTAAAACAAAAGATGTCTCTTATGATTAGAGAGAAAGAAAAACTCTTATGTACTGATGAAATCCCACACATTGTTCCAAACTATCCCAAGACAGCAAGACAGGCTGAAGTACCCTCAGTCTGTCACACAGAGTGTCTAGGGTGAGACCTCCTGGGACAAAAGATCCATGGTCCCTCGACACCCATTCTCTCTCCTCCACCAGCTACCACTGAACTCTCCCCTGGTTCTGCAGGTGGGATGGGACTAGCTCACACGAAGCCAGCACTACAGACCCAGGAGGGGCTGGGGGAAAACAGCAGAGGGTTTCTGAGCTTTTATTTCCAGCCAGAGACTTTCACTTTTTCCAATACACATTGCTGCTTGCCGAGAGCCAGCCTTGCTATCTGATGGGCAGTGGGCCAGGGGCTATTGTGCACAGGCCCACAGCTTGGGGCAGGAAAGGGAAGTCTCCCCAAACCAATGGCTATCAGAGGAAGCGAATGGAAAAATCAGGAGTTGGCAGAACTGCTCCAGAGCATTTTCAGTTTTGTTTTTATCTTCATTTCAGAAATCAGGGGCTAATGACACACACAATAGCTGCTGAGGATGAGTGAGACAGGGACCAGAGCAGGACAAGATACTGACCGCAGAGACTCACTGATGCTCTTGTGCTTACTAGCTGGATCCCAGCGAGCCAGGCAGCATGAGCACAGTGCCATGCCAGATACAGTCAACCCAGGTCCCAGCGGGCACGGCAGGGAGAGCAGCTTCCCTGGGCCACCCTCTCCTGGCACTCCAGCCTGCTCCTGCTCTAGCCTCATCAGGCCCCTCATGCCAAGGGGCCCCCTGCCATCACCAGCTGAAGCAAAAGAACGGACTGATAATCCTGTGTTCAGGGTGGCCGCAGCTTCCCACGAAGCCTCTCTACACAGGGGTTCGCGCTGCCGGCTGGCCACATTCCTCCTTGATCCAGGGCAGCAGAGCTGGAGCAAACTCTTACCCCAGGATATGGCTGAGTCTTTTGCTCTGTTCTTTGACTCAAAGCTGAAAGAGAGGCTCCCAGACTTGAGCCCTTCTCATAGGAGACTCCTGTCAGGAAGCTGATGCAGTCAGGAAGTTGCCCCCACAGGGAGTTCTAGGGCTTTGGGTCAGTGTTAATGTGCAGGTCACTACAAGTACAAAGAGATAGCTGTTTTTGGCCATCAGCTATTTTCTCTAAACCCGGTTCTCTCTTGGGGGGTGATGAGGGGAGGAATCCAATCTTTTTTTTCTTCATCAATGGAAAATCTTAACCAATATATCCCCATTTCCTCACACTGGACCAGGCTCTATAGAACAGAGCTTCTCGATATTGTCATCCCATAAGACCCTGAGAACATCCTGTTTCAACTTTCAAACCTCCCATTTTATTTTGAAGTTGCTACTGCCACTACACAGTTTCTGGTCTCATCTAGTATTGCAGAATTTTAAGCAGGGAGAAAAAACCTGTGGAAGTGAAGGAAGCTGACCGTTTTGTCTCTGTTTGTGGTCACCACCTCTGCAGTTCACTCCTGCAGGTCTGTACCAGGGCTGGAGGTCCACACTGTGCAGTTCTCTAACTCGTTACTGTCCAGGTGTCACTAGAAGGCACCTCATCCTTTCAACACTCCTGTTTTTCCACCTCTCCTCTCTGAGGACGAGGGCTGCCGTCCTCCTTATCCAGGTACTATAAGCCCTCTGCCTGGACTCCCCCGTTGACTCTCAGCAGGAGGGTCCCCTCCCTAGGGTACCCTCTTCACCGCCTCCAATCTCCTTTTCAGCTGTCTCTGTGCCTCCCTTCATAAACAAGCTCAGATCTCTAGCCTAAAAATAGCCTGACCTTATTTCTGCCACTCCCTTAAGCCACTAGCCCACCTCTTTTTTTTTCTTTCATGGCCAAACCCTTTGAAAAAGAACTGATTGCCTCTACTCATCAGCTACCCATTCCTGAGGGGTTGCAATCTGGCTTGCCCACTGCAGGTTGCAGTGGCAAGAAGAGGAGCCAGATGGAATGAGAACAGAGACAAAGGCACTTAAGATGCGCTAAGAAAATTAGAGTCAGATGTGGCAGGGATGGGTCCTTTACTTGAGGGCTTAAGGGCATCGCCTGACATATTATGGAAGAAACAGTGCCCGAGCTCTCAGTTTCAAAGGTGGGTAGAATCTCCAGAGGCAAGGACACAAAGAAGGGGATATTCACATAGGGAAATTCCATTTGCCTTGTCTGGAGATCTTCCCCAGGGGTCTCTCTTTTGGGTTAACATACTATCTAGTAGGTTTTATTTTTGGTTTGGGCGGTTTGTTTTTGTTGTTTTTTTTTTTAAGCTAACTGGATTGAAAAAAACTGGAATTCAAGGTATGTATATTATGATGGGAAAAAACCAAAGGTGAACATGATAGCTGGTTTCAAGCATCTGAAAAACTGTCATATGAAAGATGCTACCTGTGCTGCTCAAGAGAGCACTACTAGAGCCAATGGGTAAAGTGAGAGAAGGCAGAATCTCAACTCAAAATAAGGACTAATCTCAAATAAAGAAAGTTGTCTCAAATCGGGTTGGGCTTCGCTGCACTTCCTCATTATTGAAAATGCTGCAGTGGGAGCTGAATGACCTGCATATTCAGTCTTCCGCTCAATAGCACAGGTATGTTAATGTTAGTGGGGAAGGAAGGCCAAGAGCCCCTCCTGTTGGTGGGGGTTGCATCACTAAGGCTTCTAATTTGACCCCATTTGCATGGCTAGGACTTCTCCTATCCCTCAGGCTTAAACCTTAACTCCTCTCTTTCTGTTTCCTTCTCTTCCAGAAGGCCCTACCCCATAGCAGCAGAGCAAGCAATGAGACGTGTGGATGCAGACGACAAGTTTTTCCTCTTAGTCTGTCCTTCTCCAACCTGGCTGGCGCCAGGAGAGCCTCCTTCCCACCCTGGCATCCTCTGCCTCCTGCTTCTCTGGTCACTCCTTTCCTGTGTCCTCCACAGGTTTGTCCGCCTCTAACTGGCCACTGTCTGGATCTCTAAGGCTCAGTCCTAGGCCCTCTTCTCTTCTCACTCTAGAGTCTGTTTAGAAACTCTCATCTGGGCCCAAGGCTTCAACTTGACAACATCCATTTTTCTCCTCTACCGCTGGTTTTCTCCCCTCTGAGCTAGAGATTTGCCGAGTTAGCTGCTCATCTGCTGTCTTCTCTTAGCTGACTCAAATCTATCTCCAATTCAACCTGCCTAAAATTTCATGCCCTTCTCAGCACCTGAAACCAGGCTCACTTCTAATCGCTGTCTTGGTAAAAGGCATTGCCAGATCCATAAACCAGTAACTTACCACCCTGCTCTCTCAACACCTGAAAATGCAATCCAATACCACAGTGGTTCTTAACCCTTCTGATCTTAGAACCCTTTTTCACTTCTAAAATTGAGGACACCAAAGATCTTTTATTTATGAGGGTTATAACCCATTATAACCCATTGACATTCACTGTATTAGAAATTAGGGTCAAAAAGTTTAAAACACACTGATAGACAAGCACACATTCCGTTAGCCACAGAGCAATGACATTACCCCAAGCAGGTGACCTCTGGAAAATTCCTCTATTTGTGAGAGAATGAGTGAAAAGTTGATCGATGTCTTAGTGTTATCATGAAAATAGTTCTGACCCTGATCCTAAATGGATCTCAGGGACCTCCCCACCATCTCCCCCATGTTCTAATGGCTTTACCTTCTAAATGTCTCAAACTCACCTGGTCCTCCCTCTTTACCTACCGTCACGAGTTTAATCCACGTTTCTGTCTTCTTTCACCCTGACCACCACACAGGCTAATGTGGCTTTCCCTTGGAGCCATGCTTGCCCCTCTTGGATCGGCTCTTCAACCCTTATGTAGCTAGAGAAGTCTTTTCAAAATAAAACTCTGAATACGTCACCCATGCCTCTTCACTTAGGACCAAAATCTACCTGCCAGTCCTCAGGGCTCTGCCCCCCATCCTCAGCCTCGGCCCCTCCTCCTCAGCCCTGTTCTCAGCTCTCCAGCCCTCAGGGCTTCCCTCTGCTTCTGAAATACACGGCACTCCCCTTTCCGTGAGGCCTCAGCAAGGGAAGCCAGGAACTCTCCTCCCTGTCCTTTTGAATAACTCCCATTCATGCTCTAGGTCACAGCTTAAGGCTTCACTGGCCCTGAAATCAGGTCACATCCTTCTGTTATACGTGCTCACACCACCACACACCTTTTGGTCAGAGCCTATAATTAGGCTTGTCGCATCACAACAAGTGACATATGACCTCCTACAGGTATATAAGGGCCACAGGGACAGGAACTGTGCTTTGATTTCCATGATTCTGGCACACAGCAGATACTCCAGGTAATTATTTCCTAAATGAACAAATGAGTAAATATGCAGTTTGACAGGGAGAGAGATACCATAAGATAATGTGATAAGCGTCAGAATAGAGATGGGTACCAGGGGTCACCACTCCCAGCGTTTGCCCAATGCCTACAGAGCGAGTCCATGTGCAGTTGAGGCTCCTTGGTCACGGCAGACATCCTTTCTCAGCCGTCTCTATTTCTCCTTCAAATACATCAGCCCAGTCAGAAGGGTATGTGGGCTCTCCACCAGCAGATCACTGAAATGCCCTCTCCCATCATCCTGGCCTATGGAAATCCTCCATAACCTCTAAAATTTCAGCTCACACTGGGTGCACATCCCAGGTCACTCTCGTCAGACATAGCCTCTGCCACATCCCAGCTTTACGAGTCTCTCTCATAATCCAGAACCATCTGGTGTTCTCAGCAGTCACCATCTTCTTTGGTGATCGTGCCTGGCAGATGCCCCTTTCTGTGCCCAGAATATCTGTCTACATTTCACACTCAGTAAATCTTCCCCTCATTTGTCATCTCTGATGTTCCCTCTCTTTTGTGAAAGCAAAGTCCTGGGTGGAGCTGGTTCTGCCTCCTTTGTGTCCCCACACCACCCTCGGCCTTCCAGGTGCCTCCACTATAGCCCCCACACCAGCCTAGAGCCTGGGATATAGTGCTGGCTGAAGGGAGGAACCCAGAATCTGTGCATGCTGGGAGGCTGTGTTGCCCATTCTTTATACAGACAGGAACTCATTTGTAGAAATTTTACTCCTCAGCACTCTCAGACAAGGAAATTCCAACTGGGGTCCCTACGACAATGGCCAACCATGTACCCCCATCTCCACACACGTCACAGGCACTTGCTTAGGAGCAGGAGGCCAGGTCACTGCCCAACGTCAGTACTCACTGCTTCCTCCACAAAGGAGCAGCGCTGCCCCGCTCCAGCCCCTTGGTCTCTACAAGGGCTCTAGAACAGAAGCCAAACTAGCAGAGATACCCAGGTTCCAGGACACCTGGATTCCAGGGCCAGAGATGCTCTGGATAAGGCCTCCCTGCTGGGGTGCTGGCTCTCCCCTCAACCAGCTTACTGTAAACATACCCACCAATCATCCACAAGGCTAGGGAAACATGAAATGCATATACGGACTTCCAGCTTGGCAACACTTACTACCAGGGCTTGCTCGGGCTCCAGAAATTACTCAGTGAGGCAGAGTCAGTGCCTCAGCAGCACAATCTTTCTGCTGCTCCCTGGGAAGGCTTCTCATTCCCACACAAGCTCCATGACAGGACTGATGCTCAGAATGCAGCCCCCCACCCACCCCGCCCTACCGCCAGCTCAGCTTCAGATCTCCAGAGAGCAGTTCAGTTTGATGCAATTCTACCTGCCCAGAGAGAACCTGTATGGACAGCAGCAGGGGTTCCAGCAACATCAGGGCAGCAACCTCAATGCAAATGCCAAGGCCAGACTCCCCCTTAAAACAAATTGCACGATTCAAAAAGAGAGCTTTTTCCTCAAATATGGAAAAAGGGATCCAAAGCAAAACTGGACTGCCTGGTATAATGCACAGATCTGATTTAGCTTTCTTTCCCAGGAAGGCCTGGCAGCAGCTACATATCTTTCTAATGAGCCAACTGTATATACTACGTCAATAGTCTCCTGTCCTCCCAGACACCTTAGACACTCCAGTAGTTTTGTTGGTCTGCATCTTCCGTGAAGTATCAGAACTCCTCAGGAACCATAAGCAAGAGGCTTGATATCAAAACTCAAACTTGGACCTGACTTCTAACTCTGCAAGTTCCCAGTCTTTTAGGGAAAGTATGGTCAGAAGTGAGGGTCCACTGCCACTGAAGGTCCTCAAGCAGATGTGTGAGATCACTTTTTCAGGGCTGTTGAAAAGGACCTGATTACCCCACCACAGCATGACAGCATAAGGGTTAGGACTCCATTCCAATCATATCACTATTTCTCTTCCCCAAAGAAAGGCATGGAAGATTATTCCAAACAGCATAGCAGTCAATAATGTTTGATGATTGTTTTTTAATTAATAATTATTTTTTAAAAGAATATTAAAAAAAATAGCCAGATAGGTAAGAGGAAACAAGGGATGAGATACTCACTGACAGAGAGGTGCCTGCTCCTGGACTCAGGGGGCTGGTAGATGGTATTCACATCTCCCGCAGACTGGGAGGCTTTGATTCGCACTTGCCTGGACACCCCGGAGTGGGGAGAGGAGCTGGTCTGCAAGATAAGAGGAAAACGGCTGAGCTCACTAAGGAGGCAGGCTGAGAAATGTCCCCTCGCCCCTCCCTGGAACGCAGCATGCTCTCAGCCACCTTCATGCCTTCAGTGCATGAGCTTCTCAGCTTTCCCTCAAACCTCACTCCTCAATCAGATGTGGCCCATCGCTATCTGCTCAATTCATTTTACAGTTTCACTGATAGAGGGCACCGATACCCAGTGCTCCAATGGAATAGGTGACGACCCAGACACACAGGAATACCAGGCATTCCTATAGTAATGTGCCAAACAGAAAACAGCTGTACATATCCTCTCATAAAACTCTCTGAAGGGTTGGGCAGAATAGCAGGAAAAGCAGATTATCTCAGCAGCAAGATCACCTGTTGCGTGGGGGTTCAGCATGGAAAATGATGGCCACCTCTGCACCAAAAACTCTGGTTGATAAAACATTTTAAAAATAATGTGATATACTTCTTTTTCCCTCATCATCATTGCTCCCTGAAAATTAGGGTACAATGAGCTTGGCTACTTTATGTTACTGGAGCTTACACGTGAACCATCTTGGGACTGTGTTCATCTCAGAAAGACTATCACAGGCACCATGCTGCCCGAGGTCAAGGACTTCAGGACAGGGTCAGCAGCCTTGCTACATCCACCCCACTTTGCACTGACTCAGTTAGGCCACAAGGTGAGCCCTAGAGAGAAAACAAAGCAATAAAGGGGAGCCCTGCATGAGAAAGTTTACAACTGATGCCTGAAGGGGAGCAAGTGATGTCAGGCTGTGCTCATAATTAAGTAGAGCGCTATGGAGAGTGGAAGCTCAGAATTTATAAATAACTTGGGTCAAAATTTCTACTTGTTTCTCTTTTTCTCTCTCTCACACACACCTCCCACAAGGAAAAAAAAAAAAAAGTGCAACCAAAACAAACTCTATCCTGTCCTCCAGGAAAAACGCTTCCCGCGCGCGCTCAGGGGGCGGTCCAGCTGCCAAGCAGCCTCCTCTGTCTCCCCGCGCCAGACCTGATCACATGCCGGCTGTCCTGACACACTGTCCTGCTCTAACGGGAAGTCAGAACCAAGGGGAAGTGAGTGTTCTTGCTGAAGCGTCCGATGTGCAATAGCTCTCCGCCAAGGGCCAGAAAGGAAAAAACAATCAAAGCCACACGCTGGGGAAGCAGGTCAGTGAGGGGCACGCAAAGGCTACAGCCCTGCAGTCAGACAGAGAAGAGCTGTGCTGAGCACCTCAAGGACACCTGCTGGGACAGGGCCTGACGCAGAGTGGGAACTCCATACATCTTGGCAACACTATCTGAAATTACCGAAGAATATAAATTCTAATCTCTCAATTTTCAAATCTAAAAGCTGAGACAGGAAATGAAGTTCAATAGCCGGCACAAGCATAGGTTTCTAAGAGGAAAGGCTGACTGTGGCACCAAGCTGGAAAACAGATGAAGGGAATCAGCGAAGGTTTCTGAGCAGGGCTTCTCACATTGCTACGTGCACACAAATCGCCTGGGACCTTGTTCAAATGCAAGATTCTGATTCAGGAGGTCTGGGGTGAGACTGAGGATCTGCATTTCTAACCAGCTTTCAGGTGATGTTGATGAGGTGGTACATGAACCACACTCAGAGCAATGAGGTCCTGGGAGGTGAGTCATATTTGGTTTAAGGCAGTGGTTCTCAGCCCCATCTACCCAGCAGAACTGCCTGCGGGGTTTTTGACACCTCAGACCAACTACAGCAGATAATCTGGGGGTAAGGCCCAAGGACTGGTATTTTTAAAATCTCCCCCAAGTGTTGGTAATATTCGGTCAAGTTCGGAAAACCCTGATTTTGAGAATGACAAGAGAATGGCATGGTAAACAAAAATGAAGTTGATGCAAGGACTCAAGGAACCTGGAACAAGACCTAGAAGTGGAAAAGAGAGGGAGGAAGGTGGGACTAGGAAAAAATAAAAGTGCCTGTAGAGAGTGAAAGGAGTCCCAGTGGGTGCAAAGTGTGTAGATGGCAGAACATTCTAGAGACAGCAAATAGAAGGCATGCGACCATTTTGTGAAAACCTCACTGAAAGACTCTGTGGGTAGCAGTGTGCTGTGGCCGACACAAACAACATGAAATATCACCGGGGAACCATGTGCACAAAGACTGCAGTCACTGGAAACTAGGAGATCAGCCAAAAAAAAAAAGATTATAAAAGTTGACCCACAAATTATCTTGATAAAAGATTTGGTGGTATCAGACAAAAGGAGCAGTTGAACTCAATGATGTAGAGAGAAAAAAAGGGGTATCCATGTGTTTGGTTTAGTTTGGTTCATGGAAATGTGAGCTGAGAAGTGGCTCTCTGCATCTCAGCGGTCCTCTGTTTCAATGGTGGCACCAAGAGACATTTGCATGAAGACCATGATAGTTATGATCACTGTGGAAGCATCCAGATTATTTAATAAATTCACAGCTTTTAACACACATGAATTTATTAAAAGTCTGAAAAAAATCTGCTTTGAAGCTATACAACTTGAAGAAAGGATGACATGTTTATGTTTCTTATACAAATTCTTATTTCCTTTTTGTTCTCTGATAATCCTCATATTCAAGGGGTTCATTCAAATTGAGATGAGGTGAATAAATCTGTGCTTTTATTGTCCCCACTCTTCAGTGCTACACAGACTTTGCCTAAAGGTATGTATGCTTCAGCTCCCTTTCCTGACTAAAGAGTTCCAGGCATTTTAGGCTGTTCACATATAAAACTGATCCCGACTCCATAAAAATTTGTCTTGTCTTGGACCTTTCTTAGCTCAGTTCCCTTCTAAGTTGAGAAAGGAAGAAAAGGGGGAGAAAATGACACATCTCACAGGTTTTCCTCATGGGCAACATTACATTTCCTGTTCTGCTTCTAATGAACTGTGGAAGAACCTGGGTGAGGTTTTCCAGAACTACAATAATTTCCAAAGACTACTATAATAATCCTAATAATAAAGGATCTTACAATAATTCTAAGACCCTTTTCCTGGATGGTGTCTCATATGTACTGGACTATAGTCAGAACATCTGGGCTCTAGCCCAGCTCTGTCACTATTACCTGCTTCACCCAGGGCAAATCACTCTAGGCCTCAGTTGCCCTAGGTATAGACTAGCAATAACCAGCATCCCTGAAAGTCACAAAAATCAAATGAGAAAAGAAAGTACCTTAGACACATAAAATGTAATAATTTTTATTTATCTGTTAGCAGTGCTACTGGCTTGTGGGATCTTGGTTCTCTGACCTGGGACTGAACCCGCACTCTCATCAGTGAAAGCATGGAGTCCTAACCACAAGACTGCCAGGGAATTCCCAAATGTGTAATGATTTTTGCCAGACTAAAGATATTCTGCCCACCAAGTTTAGTTCTAACTTCCTGCACTTGCCCCATTATTCTTAGAAAAATAAAAAGAAATATCATGTAGATTATCCTGGATATTTAGTTTTTATCATATGTACAAGTGACAAGATAATATTGAGCTTGAGATTACGTTATGATGGTGGAAAATCTGGAAAGTTATAAGAAGGTCAAGAGCTTTAGAAAGATAAATTAAGAGTTAGATGAACACACACTTAGAAAAGCAGTCTGTAATAGCAAACAGCTGAAAGTTGATGGCCCAAGGCAGAGGTCTAGAATGAGAACTACTGAAGGAGGTGGTGAAGTATCTTAAAATGGCAGTAAAATCAAGGCTAGAGAAAGGTTCCTCAGACTAAGAGAAGTTCTGTGATTACCAAAATCCAAGTGTTCTCAAGTGAAAACAACACTGAAGTCTATGACATGGTTTTGGCCAGCTGTGATGGGAGGAGTATGACTATCCACCTTGCTGAGGGATGAAGACAGAGGAAAGGCTAAAATCTGTCATAGAAAGAGCAATAAAAAAAGGAATCAATAGAGAAGAGACAGTACATTTAAAAACAAGAAAGAGAAGGGAAGTGAAGGTTCAGATGGTAACAAAAGGCTAATGAGATGATAGGCTGCTAAAACTGAAGGAAACTACAGGAACAAAGTGGCTGACAGTGATCATCAAGAGGGGATGAAGACTGGGGTGATGTGGTGTCCTGAAGAAGTATATGTAGAGTGTGATCTAAGGGCTGGTGCCAGGTTCCAACCTGTGGTGAACCAGTCCTCTACAATTTAAGTACTGAAATGTGAAGAGTAACTTGCTAATAAACACTTTGGTAACAATTTGGCATAGTGACTTATGCCTATTGAATCTAACAAAAATTGTGGGCTTGTGTTTTGTATGTCTCTCGTTAATTTTTCCACTTTTCAGTTTTTGTGTTTTTAAAGAAGAACTGGTCTATGACAGATTAGAAACTAGAAGAACAACAGTGAGATTTCATCACAAACAGAGAAGCACTCTTCTAAAGGTAGGACACCTAAACACATAGCAATTTTGGATCATGATACCTCTCTTTACAAAGAAGCCTGAAGTCTAGTTGAGGAAGTCCCCAAGGAAAGATTTCATCACCACCAGTACTACTGTTAGTCTTAAATGTAAATCTTTATAAATGCCAAAAAATAGGAGCAGTTTAAACATTCTAACAGTAGCAAAACTGGTTACTGAATAAAATTATGGTATGTCCACTCAAGGAACTTCTGCATCCTTATAAATTATAATCATGAAGACTGTATATTAACAGAAAAATGTACATGACAATAAGTGAAAAATTATATTAGAAAACTGCATAAACACCATGACAACACTTAAAAGTGTGTATACATATGGCCAAAGAGAAACATATCAAAAATCAATCAATGTGTTTTGGTGCTAGAATTATGTAAGACAATCCTTTTTTATTATTTTAACTTTACAATAAGCTACACTGACTTTATAATTTTTTAAATATACATCCTTAGAAAGAGAGGCATCAATATGGCATTTATTTCGTGCAACATTTAATGTAATGCCATGAGTGTCAGAGATCAGATGGTCATCTTTCACACAGCTCTGGGTGCTGTAGCAGCACCTACAGCTGAGTGCACCCTTTGATGGATGCGGAGGTAAATGTATAGAACCAGTTGTCTGAAGCTTCTCATCAGGGGAGTGGAGGGATCACCATCAGGGTTGCTGGCTCCCAGTTAAACCATCACGTCATTAAATTTCAATTCCAGTTTCTTCTGTAAAAAAGGTGTTTGCTAAATATGGTCTCTACTTGACTCTTGCTAACATTTCAAGTAGTCACTGTTGCTCTCTTAGGAAGATGGGTTCCAGAACAACAAGATACAGCTCCAGTTCTCAAGGACCTTACAATCTTTTGGGATAAAATTTACACATACGCAACAACTTTGGGGCAATTACTAAGGAACCTATAAACTAGTGTGCAAATTATATCCAAAGACTAAAGGAAAGGGGAATAATCAATATGGCCTCAGTCAAAAATACTGACCAAATTGTAGCAGGTAAATCAAGCTAGAACCTAAAAAAAAGGCTGACAACCATGGTCTGGCAAAAAGTAAGAAGAAAGAACTGTAGAAGAAGGGAAGTATGCTGAAGAACTTGGAAAGATGAGACTGGGGAGCTGAAAGAAGGACAGTTAGTGAAAAATTCTGGGTGATAGGTTACATTTAGATCTCACATGACAGGCAATGAGAAAGGACTACAAGGAGAAGGTAAGTAACTCGAACAGAGAAATGAAGTAATAAAGTTTATATTTTACTTCAGAATACTTCCCAAAACATATCCAGAACAAAAAGACACTGGGAAAGAGAAGACCAGTCCTCATGCTCAAGGACACTTCTGTACTATTAGAAAACATCTTCTTTATTCTAAGGCTTCCTAACTACATTCTTCTGTGTCTTTCCCTAATCAACAGACATTCTAAAGTCTCTTTAAAAATAAAGCACCATTCCCTCTAAATTCTGTCCGGTATAGGGCATCCACGGTTCTCAGGCAGTAAAGTTAGCTGTCCACAGTTGGCTGTTTTCAAGCATATGGAAAGGAAAGAACACCAAAGAAACCTTCAGGAACATGTATGTGAAGAAAACTGGTATAGGAATCAAATAGAAGACAGATACAGATTACAAGCATTCCTGTGAAATGTAGGCCCTTGGGGATTCTTTAGGAAAGGAAACTGTGTAAGGAAAAATCCCTCAGTTCTGAAGGCCCCTAAGATTGTTGCCATTTGGTAAGGCAGCAGATGCTAACTTACAAGAGGCCCTTTAGTCTATGGCCTTTTTCCCACTGAACAGAAGGGAAAAGTGTGTTTTCTACGTGTCCCAAGGGAAAGTCACAGTTGCTGAGGAGTTGTAGGAGTTGGGTTCACAAAGCATGACAGTCTCAAATCCTTGACAGTCTTTGCTAATCAGCACCCCCACACTAAGCAAATCTCCCTTGCTGGGGTCCAAATCTAGTTTAAAAAAAAAAACACATTAACTACAGAGAAAAAGAATTCTCTCCTTTATCATAAAATGTTTTCCTTCCTCCCACACCACAAGCCAAGTAACCTTTAGCTGCAACTTTAACACTGATGATCTGGCTGTGCAGTAAAATCAAATGCAGAAGGCTGGCTGACCACTGGCCCCGTGGGCTGGACTGCACTGATGTTCTCACTTTAGTGGTGACAGTGGAACGCAAAACTCCGTCAAGGAAGAACGTGAACTCCTGAAGGGCAGCAGGCTGTGTCTTCAGCTGTCAGTCCAGGGCAGGGGCTACTTACATGGTTTCTGTCCTGGGACAGCAACAATATTCTAAGACTCTTCATGCTTGAGCTTCTATCCAAAATGTCAATTGCTTTGTCAAGATCATCTTGATTCTTCAGCAGGATGGAGAGCTGTGACACATGACACAGAAAAAGGAAATCATATAAAATATGTCTTTAGTCTGCAAAAACAAGCAAAACAAAAACTAAAAATAAATTTGGAGAAAAACAATCTCAATGCATACTCTGGAGTCCTCAAAGACCTAACTGAAGCCATAGAGATATTTTCTCTTTTTTTTCATTTAAGTGTACAATTTAATAATTTTTAGGAAAATGACAGAGTTGTGCACCCATCACCACAATTCAATTTTAAAACATTTTCACCACTTTAAAAAGATCTCTTGTGCCCATTCACATTCACTCCTCTTTTCTACCTCTCACCCCAGGCAACCACTAATCTACTTTCTGTCTCTAGAGATTTGCATTTCCTGGACATTTCATATAAATGAAATCACACAATTCATATATATTTGATTCAATTCATAGTCTTTTGCATCCAACTTCTTTCACTTTGCTTAGTGTTTTTGAGTTCATCCATGCTGTAGCACATTAGTACTTTATTTCAAGATATTTTCTGAGAAAAGCTTCCTCTCCCAAAATACTCTCTACTCCAAAGCATCAAGTCCCAAACAGTTTTAGCCCCCATATTTCTTCCCAACTAGAGCAGTAAAAGCGTGTCCCACCCTACTCTGTGCTGACGTTAACAAAATAAGCAGAAAAGGCTGAGGAGGAGGAGGGGGCGGGCTGAGGATGAAAACATTACTCAAGTAAGAACACAAATTTAGACCACATAGAAGGGTTTAATATCTTAACGTTTAAAGGTTGAAAACAAAATCCATAACTAGAACCAAAAATGACTTCCTCTGTTTTCATTCCATTGAAGTATTAAAGAGAAGATTCTCAAGGATATAGATAAATCTTATTCGCTATTAAAAAGCAGAAGATACTGAGTTCAGTTCAGTCGCTTAGTCTTGTCCGACTCTTTGCAATCCCATGAACCGCAGCACGCCAGGCCTTCCTATCCATCATCAACTGCCGGAGTCTACCCAAACCCACGTCCATCCAGTCGGTGATGCCATCCAACCATCTCATTCTCTATCGTCCCCTTCTCCTCCTGCCCTCAATCTTTCCCAGCATCAGGGTCTTTTCCAATGAGTCAGCTCTTCACATCAGGTGGCCAAAATACTGGAGTTTCAGCTTCAACATCAGTCCTTCCAGTGAACACCCAGGACTGATCTCCTTTAGGATGGACTGGTTGGATCTCTTTGCAGTCCAACGGACTCTCAAGAGTCTTCTCCAACACCACAGTTCAAAAGCATCAATTCTTCTGTGCTCAGCTTTCTTTATAGTCCAACTCTCACATCCATACATGACTACTGGAAAAACCATAGCCTTGACTAGACGAACCTTTGTTGACAAAGTAATGTCTCTGCTTTTTAATATGCTGTCTAGGTTGGTCACAACTTTCCTTCCTAGGAGTAAGCATCTTTTAATTTCATGGCTGCAATCACCATCTGCAGTTATTTTGGAGTCCCAAAAAATAAAGTCAGCCACTGTTTTCACTGTTTCCCCATCTATTTGCCATGAAGTGATGGGACCGGATGCCATGATCTTAGTTTTCTGAAATATTATGAGTACTTAGTATTAAAAGATACAGAAGTATGCTATGCCTTAAGACCTAAATAATGTCAGATCTTACACATCTGTGGCAAACACAAAGCAAAAATCCAATTAATTTCTGCAGTTTCCAATTTATAATACAAGGAAATAAGAACTCTAAATCCTAGGCCAGGAAATAACAAATAGTAAAAAACAGTATTTAAAATAAAAGCTCAAAACAACCCATGGAATGGGATGAAATTCTACAGATCATTATCACATTAAAGAATTCATTTCTGACTAACATATAAAGTAAGGATAAATAAGGGCTAGTGTTGGGTGGAGATACAAGAAGATAAAGAAATTACTGGAGTATGTTTTAACTTAAAAAAAAAAAGCTACAATTTTGCAAATGTATGATAAGGATCTAGTATCCAGAATATGTGAAGAACTCTTACAACTCAACAACAAGAGGACAAGCAATCCAGTTTTTTAAATGGGCAAAGGATTTGAATATGTACTTGTCCAAAGAAAAATAAATAAATGACTAATAAGTACATGAAAAGATACTCAATATCATTAGTCATTAGGGAAATGAAAATTAAAACCACAATAAAATATCACTTGATACATACTAGGATGGCTATAATTTTTTTAAAAAAGAAAAAAAAAATCACAAGTACTGGTGAGAATGTGGAGAAACTGCAACCCTCATATATTGCTAGTAGGAATGTAAAGTGATACCAGTCAATATGAGATAATTGGGCATTTCCTCAAAAAGTTAGATACAGAGTTTCTACAAGACTCACAATTCCACTCTTAGGTATATTTTAGAGGATTGAAAACAGCTGTTCAGATAAAACTGGTACACAAATGTTCATAGCAGCATTATTTATGACAGCCAAAAGTGGAAAAACTCATGTCCATCAAGAGTTGAATGAAGGGATACACAAAATGTGGTATACCCATATCATGGAGTATCATTCAGCCATACAAAGGAATGAAGTCCACTACATGCTACAATATAGATGAGCCTTGAATACATGCTCAGTGAAAGAAGCCAAATACAAAAGGCCACATACTGTGATTCCATACACATAAAATGTTCAGAATAGGCAAATCCAGAAAGATGTAAAGTAAATAAGCAGTTGCCCGGGGCTAGGAAGTGGAGGGGGAATGGGAAGTGACTGCTAATGAGTATAGGGTTTCTCTTTGGGGTGATAAAAAGGTTCTGGAATCATGTACTGATAGTTAACACAACTCTGAATATACTAAAAATCACTGAATTGTACAGTTTAAAAACATAAATTTAAAAATAAAAGGGTAAGTGATATGGTAGGTGAATTATATCTCAAAAATGCTCTATTTTAACAAAAATATAAACATAAATAAAATCAAAGATTTTTCATTTGTGGTTCACAAGTCCTGACAAGGCAGGGTTTAGAGGGCAAAGAAAAATAGGTTGAGAGAGTTGAAATTAATAAGATATAAATTAGTCAACTCTTAGTCACTGACATTAGCAGAGTATGGAAAAACATGCATGATTTAATATAGTAACAATTATGGGAATTCCCTGGTGGCCTAGTGGTTAGGATTCTGGGCTTTCACTGACATGGCCTGGGTTCAATCCCTGGTCTGGGAAATGAGGTCAAAAAACAAAAACAGAAACAACAACAACAGTAAAATAGTGATGAAAAATAAATGCTCAAATACATTAGTCTTCACTGACTCTTAAAAAATATATTTGGTTAAGAATCAATATCTGCATAAACATTTGAATAAAGGAATGCCCAACATTCTGGGCAGTCACTTCCCTGGCAAGAGTCTGAAAATGGATTTTGGGACATACGGAATTCTTAATGGAAATATTAATGGAAAGAGAAATAAGTAGTACTAAATCATCCAGAAAAATATTTCCTAACTAAAGAACACCTTGAATGCTGACTGGCTAGCTGATTTTAGCCTCGTTTTCTCATACAGTCATGGATGTTTGAACTGTTCTATGGATTTTTCACTTATATTTTGGGGGTTCTCATAGCCTGTATTTAAAATGTGTTAGTTTACGTACTTTGAAATGCTTACATCTGTTTTATTTACTAACCATAGTGTTAGTGATTTTCTAAATTTGTTGTATTTCTAAAATTTACCCAAAAGGAAAAGATCAGATGGTCTTATTTTTGTTAGCTATATGGCAGCATATACCCAACTGGGGAGCTCAGTGGTAAAGAATTTGCCTGCAATGCAGAAGACTCAGGTTCGATCCCTGAGTCAGGAAGATTCCCTGCAGGAGGGCATAGCAACCTGCCTGGAGAATTCCATGGACAAAGGAGCCTGGCGGGCTACAGTCTATGGGATCACAAAGAGTCGGACACAACTGAAGTGACTGAGCAAGCATGCATACCCAACTGTGGCTGTACATTTTGTTTAAAGAGGACCAGGAAGTTTTTAGCCAACAAATCTCAGCTTCTATGGATTTCAGCCCCAGAGTTTGGAGGAAATTCTTAACTTTTCAACCACTAAAATAAAACTACATAGGAAAGACCTCTCAAAGAGCCATGAGATTGCCCAGCTTTCCTGTCTATTCCCCTCAACTTAGTTCCCTCAAGGAGCAAGCTTTTTTTTTTTTTTTAAAGCCTTTATTTTCAACTAAGGGATGAATCAATCCTTAATTCTTTTTTTCTTTTTTTTTAAGATTTTATTTTATTTTTTGGCTGCGACAGGTCTTCATTGCTTTCTCTAGTTGCAGCAGGCGGGCTTCTCATTGCAAGGGCTTCTCTTGCAGAGCATGGGCTCTAGGTATGCAGGCTTCCACAGTTGCAGCACATGGGCTCAGTAGTTATAGCTTCTGGGCTCTAGACTGTAGGCTCAGGAGCTGTGACACATGGGCTTAGTTGCTCCGCAGCATGTGGGATCTTCACAGACCAAGGATCGAACCCATGTCTCCTGCATTGCCAGATGGATTCTTAACCACTAGACCACCAGGGAAGCCCCTCAAAGTGCAGGCTCTTTACTGGGCACAAACACATTGCCTTTCAGACTAACGCAAAGCACCAACCCAAGCAGACTACAGCCTCTAGTACCTTCCTTGGAGCTGGGAAAGCAGCCAAGTAACTGACATTCAAAAGAATTCCTTCCTGGGTGATGTTCAAAGTATGCATAAATAAGGACCGCTGAGTGGGGTTAGGAGTAAGCGTTTAAAGAAATGATTAGAGTAGGTGCTAATGTTTGACACCAGCTATAATCAGAAGCTAAACTCTGAGACGAATCCAACATTTATGACTGTCGGTAGAGGACCTACCACCAGTTTTCCCCACATCCCCAGCCCTGCTGAATCCTCTGCTATAGCAAGGCAACGCTAAGCTCTGACCCTGATCCCTGTACCTGACCCCACCATGGAGTTACTAGAGCTAACTAATGGAAATAGAAGGAATGGAAATAGCTGTGCAATCTTCCACACAGTAAAAAAGAAAAATCCCAAAATTATTGCAGTTAACAAAAGAGGCTCCAGAAAATGAAAACATGCAGATGACATTAGAAAAACAAACTAGTTCTCTCAGTTAAGCTGAGAGAAGATGGGTAGGCAAGGTGCGCCCCACATCCCCAGGCCATCTGACTTCCGCACCTCATTGTTCATGTAATGTAGATCCAGAGGCTGCCCAAACACTGCTGTCACCTTGTGCTCCACATCTTCGTATCTCACAGGCCGGCTGAATGCTATAATTCTGAAACAGAACAGAAGCATGGTTAACTGTCCATTTAAATGCAGGGTTTAGAAGTTATGACTCCTGAGTGATATTTTCCTTTCTTTTCAAGAGTTCTTTTTATTTTTCATACAGCTTGCCTTTCTCTGTATTTTTTTTTTCTTCTCTTATCTGCCTTTATCTTTTCACCCTTTCTCTGAGCATCTCCCAGGTTTTTCAATTGTACCCACAGGCAGTATTCAATCTCAATCATTGTTCTACCACTCCAGCTCAGATCTTTCCGTCAATGACAGCTCAGTATCACCGCAGGACACCTGGGTTTAAAATCTATGTTCCAAATATTCCTATTAGGAAGAAAACCTGGCAACTGGAACCACAGTCCTGAAAACATGGTCTTAACTCCTAAATGACTCACATCAAGGACTTGAAAATGTCTTTTCTACTGTTCATTTTTGAGATGCCAGAGGAATCTCAATGGTGATTATCCTAAGAATTGACATTTCCAACCGAGTCACAGGAATTCCCCTTGAGTTGGTTATGTGCCTGATCAGTTTTCTTAACCAGTGACACATGTGTGCCTATAAGTAGTGTTGATATTGATGCTTTTCTAGAGAGACTCACTAGGTCTATTCAAAGAACGATTTCTATAAATATTAACACATGGTAGAGTAGGAACATGTTTAAAGAGGTCTTAAAATAACTTGTCGTTACATAGCACAACAAAATTTACAAGTGGGCATAGATGAAATAGGTTGGCAAAATGTTGATAATGTTGAAGCTAGGTGACAGATCCTTGGAGGCTTAGTTTCACATTCTCTACTTTTGTGTGTGTTTGACATTTTTTAAATAAAAAGTTTTAATGTTATTAGGGATACTGGGGATAGTCAACAATGTTTGACATATAAAAGTGACCATATCATATGGGTCCAACCCAATGCTTTAAAACTTATTTAAAACAAAAATAAACAAAGAGATAAACAGAATATAAAAAAGAAACTCATATGTATACTACATATGTACATGTATATAAGAAAATGTAGAAATTAAAAAATGTTGGCGTAGGGAAGGTCTTCCTACTAAGCATTATATAAAATTACATAAAATACAGAAGCCAAAAGGAAGAAGACAAATTTGACAGCAACAATTTAAACTGCTGATGGCTGCATCTTTTAAATTTGTCTGAAGTCTGAGAGGGTGATGTCTCCTGCTTTCTTTTTCCTCAGATTGCTTTGACAATTTAGCCTTCTGTGGTTCCAAATGAATTTTAGGATTATTCGTTCTAGTTCTGTGAAAAATGTCATGGGTAATTTGATAGGTAAGCCATTGGATTTTCAGGAAATCTGGCTGACTGAAATCAGTGGGCACCACGAAAGTCATTATATCTAGAACTGAGCTGTTCAATACAGTAGCCACTAGCCACATGTGGCTATTTAAATTTAAACTGATTAAATTTAAAATCAGCTCTTTAAGTCCCATCAGCACATTCAAGTGCTCACTAGATACACATAGCTAGTGACTAGTATACTGGAGAACACAGCTATAAGTCACCCCTCTTCATACCCAGGTCTACACCTGCAGATCAAAAATATCTGGAAAAAAAAAATTTCCAGAAAGTTCCAAAAAAGCAGAACTTGAATATGCCCCACGCTGGCAACTATTTACATGGCAATTACATTGTCTTAGGTTTATAAGTAATCTAGAGATGATTTAAAGTATACGCAAAGATGTACATAGGTTATATGCAAAGATTACAACATTTCATCTAAAAGATTTGAGCATCCGAGGAGTCTGATACCCACAGGGGGCCCTGGAACCAATTTCCTCGGCTACCAAGGGATTTCCGCAGAATGTTTCTATTAGAGCCGAAGTTCTACTGAACAACGTTGATAGGCTATTAGTATAATCCTTCATACAAAGCCTAATATCTCAGGAAGATAATTTCTCTATAACTTTTCCTTCATCTGTCACTACCTTCATTTCTGAAAATTATATTGCTGAATATATTAATTTATATCCACCAGGAAGTCCATCCATATTGTAATCCTTGTATTATCCCCCCTCAAATCAACCATCCCAAGCATTAATCAGGTGTTATCTTTAAAAAAAAGAGAAAAAATTAAGTGCTACCTAGATACAGGTTATCTAGATATGAGTGTTTGATGGATTCTTTCGAGAGAATACCTTTCTATTAAGTTTTTTGTAAATAAGGAATTACTAAATTCCATAATAATTAATTACATATCCCCTTCATCAGGACTTCAGCAACGGTTCAAAAGGGGTCTGCTTTTCTGAATAAAATACCAGATCACTCAGATATCCCTAACACAGTCAGAAAAAGATCAGGCTCAGAGATAAATTCTCCTGCATTTGGCCTGGTGATGAACCAGTTAAAACTTCCAAAACCATTTAAAAGCAGACCAAAAGTCTGATCAAGGTCAAGAAACCAGGACTCTCAGGTTAGTTAAGATCTAAGCTGCCACCGTCACCTTAAATAACTGGCATTTTCAGGCCAGTACTTCAAAGATGGGTCTAACACCCAGCACAACTATCCCCACCAGTTCAAAAAGGCAGGCCCCTTTAGAACTGTGGCTGAGGTCCTGATGAACGGGATATGATTTACTATAAGGAATAAATAGAAAGGTATTCTCTCAAAAGAATCCATCAAACACCCATATCTAGATAACTCATATCTAGGGAGCACTTCACTTTCTCTCTCTTTTTTAAAGACAGCACCTGATTAATGCTTGGGATGGTTGATTTGAGATGGGGAGGGAATATAAGGATTACAATATGGATGGATTTCCTGGTGGATATGAACTAATACATTCAGCAATATAATTTCCAAGGAGGCAGATCTTAGCCTACAGTCCTCTTCTGCCCTCCTGAGGCTAACAGGGAGGAAAGTTCAGAGTCTGATGCCCACCCATCCAAACCAAAGGGAAAGTCAGCCCACCAGAATGGATATCTGGCAAGGACAAAGGGGAAAAGTCACTACTTCTTTCCTCTTTTCTGTAAATTCTAAGTCTATAAGAGCCTACAACATTTAAATAGATCCTATTCCTAGTCCTGTAAAAAGTAAAGAAAGCCCACAGAAACATTTTCAACCAAATCTTTAAGATACGACATACATGAAACCGGAGCTGTCTGTTACAGAGCAGCTTGAACATGGCTTCGCTGCACAGACTTTATAAAGTCCTCAATTCCACACACAGTACACAAACAGTGAAACACCATGGCTCCAGAAAACAGCTCCATAAAAAGAGCATGCAGTTCTCAAAACCTTGATACCAACACTGCTGCTCGGGGCTTCAAAAGGCCATTCCTGCCTGACCACCTTAAATATTTGTGGTTTCGATCTGGCAGCATCTCTGAAACTAAACACACACACTTTCTCAGTGTAAGTCCGCTCACTGTAACTACATACCACTTAGTGAACAGGAATTCAGGAGAGCGTAACTGCGTAATTAGGCTCCGACACAATCAAGTCTTTGATTTAGTATCTACTTCTGAAAACTCTCCGCTGCTCTGAGTTTGGCAATCCCTCCAAAATCCAGTCTGGTCAGAAGTGTGAAAAGCAGCAACAATGAAGTGACAATTTAACTTCTGTGCTACTGGCAGGTCCTAGAATGAACAGCTGGGGACAGAGCTCAGAAAATCTTCCTCCCTCCCGGCCTGGAACAGCCCCAGAATTTACCTAACAGCAGCAGGCCCTGGCTCTGCAGACCGCCCTTTGCACAATGTTTCCACCCCTGACCAACTTGCAGGCTTCTGAATGTATCTTTTTAAGGGAAAGCAGAGCCACAGATCTCTAGAGCTCCAGAGCCAGTTTCAGAGAGGGCTGAAACAACTATGCCCTGGCATAACAAAATGCCAGTTATTTAAGGTGACGGTGGCAGCTTAGAGTTGTCTGCCAGCAGCAGACAACTTCCAGGACAAAAACGTCTGAAGGCACTTAAGGTCCTCTGGGGGTTTCCCCAGTGGCTCAGCAGTAAAGAACCCGCCTGCAATGCAGGAGCCGAAATAGATGTGGGTTCGATCTCTGGGTTGGGAAGATCCCCTGGAGAAGGAAATGGCAACCCACTCCAGTATTCTTGCCTGGGGAATCCCATGAATGGAGGAGCCTGGTGGGCTACAGTCCACGGGGTCGCAAAGAGTTGGACACGACTGAAGAGACCGAGGACGCATGCAATGCATGCTTGTGCGTATACATGCCACACACATGCACACAAAGTGTCCCAAATATCCCCTGACCAGAGTTCTATATGTTTTCTTAAAGATTTTCCTTAAAATAACTTGAGAAATTAAGTGAAGTCATATTTTTCTCCACTGAGAACTTCTATCTTGACTTCCTACAAAAACCTTAATATTGACAATGGAAAAAGGATACAAGGGTTTTGTAACAGTACTTTCACTTCCCCAAGGTAAGACACAGAATGCAGACTGACAACTCTCTCTTTCTATGTCCTCAAATGAGCTGAAATCTTTCACAATTGAGGGACTTAATGTAGCTTCCCATGACCTAGAGACATTTTAAAGAAACTTCCAATTCACCCAACATGACCCCTGATGTGGACAAAACCAGGGACATTCTTTCAGGACAGGAATGGCAGCATGTCACAGGAGAAGCCTCCTCTCCCTCTGATGCCCACAGCTGGCACAGGGTCAGCGTGTCTGGAAGCTATGACTCAGTGGAGCTGGAGCTCTGACTTCCTCCCCCAGCACAATGATGGACCTCACAGCAGCAGAATAAGAGCAGAAGGGTAAAACATTAGCAGTTGACACTTTAAGACCAGAAACAAGGTTCAGTCAATATGCCAAACCAAGGATGAAACATTCCCCTTTATGCCCCATCAACCCCATTACCCAGCCAGGGACCCCATAGGAATCACTCCAGGGAGATGGCTCCCACAAGCTGCACACTTTCTGAGAAATGGGGCACCCATGACACATCCACTCATCAGAAGGCAGACTTACCGCCTCTCCCCATTGTGCTCAAACTTGATTCTGACGTCACTCTGCCAAAGAAAGGATAGACAGGTTAGCGGGTTTTCTGGCCTGTATCACTCCTGCCACACCCAGGTAGCCTCAGGAAGTCTTTCAGCAACATTAGGCAGCATCCCTGAAGGCTCCTGTTGGAGCTTCTCTGCCCTGATGGGCACTCCTGTCACTGAGTTCTAACCTCCGGGGCAACAAAGCTCTTGGGACAAGAACCCTCAGGGGTGCCCAGCCCAGGAGCTCTGCTCTGACATGTCATCTCTAAGTTCACAAGCTCTATTTCCACAACTGGCTCTGGAGCTGCTCCCACTATGTCACCACCTCCGGGCCAGGATACCGTTCCTTCTTGGCTGACGTAACTAAACAGAAAAAGAACTCTTCATAGTGATAATTCTAGCTATACGACCACAACCAAGTTACTTACCCTCTGTAACTCTTAGTTCTTCCATCTGCAGAATAGGGCTAAATATACCTAACTCACAGAGTTGCTATGAGAACTAAACAAGAAAATGTAAGTAAAATACTTAATACATAGTAGACATGCAATAAATGGTTGCCACTGGTACCAATGATTTCCACTATCCTATCACGGCTGCCCTAAGTGGGAGTAGAGTGGCACCCTGGACAAATACCTCATAATTGTCCCCAGTTTTAGCCTAGATGACCATCAGGGTACCCTATAAGCTCTGGGAGAACAGGGATCATGCCTCTCTTAATTCCGTAGCTTCAGGGACAAGCAAACGTAATGGTATATAATCTCTGTGCTTAACAATATTTGTTAAATGAATTCATTGATTGAAAAACAGTTGAGTATAAGTATCAGAAACAAGAAAAAGAAGGAGTGTTAGAAGGTTAAGGAACAAATCAGGGAGGAAGAGATACTATAAAGGTCAAATAAATAACTTGAGGGAGTTAGAAATGACAGGAAAAGAGAAGAGATATTATAGAAGAACAGGTACAAAGGAAAAAGAAAACTAAAATTGTCAGGAAACCAACAAGTAATAGAGATAAAGGTAAGAAGGAGTTCATAGTCAGTGAATGAAAATAATACTGAGATAGACAAAAGACTGTGGCTTTGAAGAAAGAACAGGGTTTCAGGATATCTGAAGATGAAGAACATAGAGCAGGCAGAGAAGATGACAGAAAAAGGAGAAAGCTGAAAGGTAGGGTAGGTGCACAAAGGACTTCCCCTTCCCAAGAGATGGGAGGGCTAGAATTCTCTTCCAGTCAAATGAAACAGACTGATGATTCTAACTTACACTCTAAAAATTTACACTCTAAAGACTCTAATTACACTCTAAAAACCCCTAAAAGCTTTTGCTTATGTATATATCTACAAATATTTGCCTTATTAGAAATTAAAACTAAGAAAACTTAAATTTTATTCATCTAAAAATAATTAAAAACCATTATATGTTAACATAAACACATTTTAAAAACTGTATGTTTTTTAAAAAGTGAAGTGAGATGGAGTTCCCTGGTGGCCTAGCGGTTAGGATTTGGCACATTCACTGTGGAGGCACAGGTTCAACTCCTGGTCAGGAGACTATCCTCTGTGCCACGCAGTGTGGCCAAAATACCAGAAAAAAAAAAAAAAGAAAGAAAGAAAAAGTGAAGCAAGAGAGTAGGCACTCTTTAATGCATGGCTTCATAGGAGACAGCTGGATTCTCTTATCAGCTTCTGCTTTCAAACTTGTGATAACATGTGTCATATAGCCTCTGGAAAGCTCTAGTGTACTTTTTAAGAGTATGAGGGTGAAAAGGCCAAAGAACATCTTAGTACTAGTATGAAAACAGTTTTAACCTGAGGGACTCCGAAAGGTTCTTGGGAACCTGCTAGGGGTCCCAGAATACACCTTGAGAGTCACTGAATTAAAATATAAGTATAGCCTTTAACCCACTATTTTAAAGTCAAGGAAATGGAGGCTCAAAGAGCTTCATGCCCCCCAAAAATTCACATACTAAACAGTGGACAGCAAAGCTCCCTGGACTAACAGGCCTGCACTGTGATAGCTCTTCAAAATACAACGCTGATACAGCCCACTCATCCTTCGATTTCACATATGGACCACTTTATCCATTACCAATAATATGACAATAGCTGACATTTATAGAGCATTTACTATATACTAAGTCTTCTTCTAAGTATGTTACATGCATCAATTAAACTAACCTTCACAACAGGAACTCTTATGATCCCTATTGTACAGGAGAAACTGAGTTACAGTGAAGTTAAATTCACTCAAGATCACAATGCTTTAAAAGAAGCCTAAATAGGCTACAACTTAAGTGTTACACAGGCAAGGGAGGTTTATTTTACTCACAGATGCAGGGCTTCAATGGGAACACTGAAAGAAAGAAACTATCACAGGATCTTCTGAAACCTTACTTTTCAGAACTCATGGAGGAGATGGAGTAATAATCGAGTCAGCATCAGATCAGGGTGGCAACCGTGCGGGAAGCTATGGGGCCTGGGGAACCAGTAAGCGGAGGCTCTGGCTGAGGCTGTGCATGGTTGGAGGTGGAGAAGGTGGAATGGGAAGGCAGGGTGCCCCACCTGGTCTGCATTCTAGGTGAGAGAGACTGTGTGTGAGTGTGAGCGTACACATGCACACCGGCAAAGATGTGGCACACTGCAGAGGAAGCTGTGTGGCTTCAAGGTTTTATGAGTGACAGCAGTTTTGCCACTGTCTTCCTTTTCTCCTTCCCCTGAAGCTCCCATGGGAAGGGCCTTCCAAAGCACAGTGTCTGCGCCACGCTGCCACGCTCAGACATGCCCCCTCCAGCTTCCCATACTGTCCAACTTCACACCAGCTCTGGAAGACCCCACATCTCCACCACAGTTTGCAGTCCTGTCTGTCCCCACAGGTAGGGTGCCACTCCTTTCACCTAGAACATTATTACAGTTAAGTCCCCTACATACCAATAAGTTCCATTCCAAGAGCACGTTCGTAAATTTGATTTGTTCACGTCCAACAAAGTTAGCCTAGTTACCCAACTAACACAATCAGTTATATAGTCTATACTGTAGTAGGTTTATAATACTTCTCACACAAATAATGTAAAAAATATAAAATATAAGACATTTTTAATCTTATAGTACAGTACCTCGAGAAGTACAGTAGCACCAGCTATATCACCGCTGCTTTTACACTTGTTTCTGCACATCCTGGGCTTGAAATAAAGATACTGTACTACTGTATACAGTACTGTATAGCACACAGAAGCACAACTGTGTGTAGAGGGTTCATGCACGTGACAAGGTGCGCTAGGCATGTGCACTAACATGACTGAACATGGGAAGGCACATTCGCATCTGTCAAAGCTCACACCTTGAAGGTTCATATGTGGAGGACTTACGATATTTAGATGAACCTAGGAAAGAACTCCCTCCATCCCTTTGTGGGACTAAAGGAACTAAATTTATTTCATGATGGGACATAATCCAAATGCTATTCGACGTGAATTCAGTCAGAAAGGGAATTAAACTTTTGCCTTAAACCACAAATCACTCCTACTCAAGACTAACTTAGCCTGTGATTAGCAAGCAGTGTAAACAAAGATGCCCAGTCTTCTGAGTCCTATGTCTGATGTGGCTACGGCCTTTCCAGAGCAGGATGCAGGCCTGTGACTGGTTTCCATGTACCACATGGTGTGCCCAAATCTGCCAAGTTCCCAACCCTGGGTTTCCCCTGTCAGGCTGACTAGAACAAGCCACGGACAAGAAAGTTCTGCTAAAGCTCACTAGATTCAATTCCTTCCTGCCAACCGCTCTCTGTGCCTCTCTGAGGCATTTCGCATTGGTGGCTGTGTCCTCCTTGCCTCTGTGACTCTGTCTCAAGCCAGAGAACCTGCCACCACTCTAACCACTTCTGCTTCTTTGCTGGTTCCTCTTCCTCGTGTCTTCTCCCACCCCTCCCCTCAACACGTGACTATGCCTCAAGGTTTGAACTTTTGGCCTCTGGATTTCTCTCCTTCTCCTCACATCTTCTCCTTGGTAGGAATTAAAAAATCAGGTCACCTCTAAATAGAAGATTCCCAAATCTCTACGTCTAGCCCCATCTTCTCAAGCAAAACGTCATCTATCTGCCATGTAAACGAGGCAGGTAAGTCATTTATAAGGAATGGAGCACTAGAGTCAAGTTGTCTGGCTTCAAACCCTGGGTCTATAACCTCCCTGTGGTAACCTTGAACATGACTCTCTGACCCAGTTTCCTCATCTGCAAAGTGAAAACAGTGACAATCTGTCTTGTGGAATTATCAAAATAATTAAATGAAATAATTGGGGAAAGATATGAGAAGAGTACTTGACACACGTGTTCAAAAAGTGATAATAGAGATCCTTTCTCCTTTAGCCAAACCCTTGGAGCCAAAAGTGTTTCAGAACAACGGTATGTGTTCTGTATGTTAAGTGATGCCCCTCCGGGGGGAGGGTGTCAGGCGGCGCTCCCAGGCAGAGGCAGAACACACACACTTTGTGTCCTCCTCTACACTGCTGAGCCTCTCTGGAAGTTAGTTTGGGGCTTTGTAACTAGTTCTGACCAATAGCTGGGGACAAAGTTGAGTTCTGCACTCTCTTCCTTGGCAGCCACAGGTTCCAGGTCAGAGGAGCCACCCTCAACCAGGGTCCTGACGTGGCTGTGGGGAATACTGTCACCTCCTTCCCCGCACTGGACACGGCTGTACAGTCACTGAGATTCAGGGTTTACCTGCTAACAGCAAAAGTCAGTTTCTGTATTGAAAAGTATCAATATTCACAATAAGTGCAATAAATAAAGACTATAAATAGCCCTGTGTCCATTCAGGCCAAGTTTTGTTGCCAAATGAGTTTGCTGGAAATTTTAAAATACATTAATTCTAAAAAGCACCTTTTAGTTGGAAGCACTCTTTGGATTTCAGAACTGCAAAAGCAATGCACACACATACCTGCGCACACAATTTCAGTCTTTCGCTATAATTGCAAACTCAACCTAGTTACGTGTCTGCATCAGCTACCCTCCCTAACTAATCCCCCTTCTCA